ACGGATGATCTTTACTACATATGTAGCTGCGATGAATATTGATGGGACTAAGTATCCTCCGGGGCCTGGTCGGTTTATTCGTATCTATACTGAAAACGATCTAGGCCAATCAGGGGTTCCAGTGGATTATCTGATCGATTCTTCTGGTATCATTCAACATCGGTTTTTAGCGCCAGGTGATCCAGCAATAACATTTATACGTCTTCGTGCTGAGTTATACGACAACAATATATTAGTTCAAGGTACCACAGATGAACAACGTGCTATTCGTTATCTATCTCCATCGAATAGTTATCTACAAGTAACATCGAGTACGGAAAACCCGCGTGTAGGAGATTTTATGCTGTTTCGTGTCAATATCACCCAGTATGTTGATTTTGTATATTATCATATAACGTCAGCAGGCAGGTTAATCTTTACAAACATTCTTCCTATGGATGGTGCTCGACAGAAAACATTCGATGTTGGTATTAGCCGCGAAATGGCTCCATCTGCTCACATCCTAGTGTACTATATTCGCTATGACGGAGAAATTGTTGCCGACAGTATGAATTTTCATGTTGATACATCATCCGTAACAAACCATGTGAATATCACAATTAATCGGCGAAAAGACTTCACAGGAAACACAATCGAAGTGATAGCTTATGCATCACCGCAGTCGTATGTTGCGTTCGCTGGTCTTGGTCTTGTGCAAACACGATTATTTCCACCAGGCAATCATTTCAGTTCAGTTATACTCTATGATGAATTATATTCATTCGATCGATACTCTACAACGAGTTTTCAACATACATGGTACTCAGATATTAACATTGCATCGCATCGAGTTTTTTATCCCTCGCAATCCTATGGTTACGATGCTGGTTCAACATTCAATTCATCAGGAATGCAAATCTTCACCGATGTTAATATTCAAGCTATCCAAACAGACTGTGATCAATATGGCTTATTGCAATGCACGGATGGTACATGTTATCCACCTGCATTGAGATGTAATGATATACTCGATTGTCGAGACGGTTCTGATGAAGCAAATTGTAAGTAGAAAATTTTGGATCGAAAGAAAAAAATTGACTTCTCTTTCTCTCTCTCTCTCTGAAGGTAATACGACAACACCAACAAGTGAGTATAATTTCACTCCTTTGTATCTCCGCTTATGGCCATACTGGGAACGTGAATTACAACTTGATTTTATGTGGCATCAACAATTCGCGTATCCCGATGGTCGTGTACAATTTCGTACAACAGTGCCAAACGTGATCACTACCTGGGTTATCACAGCTCTGGCTGTCAGTCGTCTATCAGGCTTTGGTATTGTTGATGTTCCATTCATCTACGAAGGTACAAGACAATTTTTTATAAAAGTCGAAGTACCACCCATTGTACGACTTGGTGAGCAAGTTGGAGCGCGTGTTGATGTGTTCAATTTTCAATCGCATCGCGTCGAAGCATTGATTATTCTACATGCATCCGATGATTATCGTTCGGTTAATATCGAACAACGAGGTATCGTATCATCATATGCACCGAAGCTAACCGAGGGTCAACATCATGTACTGGTGATTTTGTATCCGAATGAAGTTCGACGACTTCATATTCCGTTTGTTCCTGTTGTTGCTGGTGAAATCGAAATCATGATCGAAGGTATTGATATCTTCTTCGAAATATTTTCATTGTTTCTGTTTTGTCATTAAGGCATCACTGGCGTTTCTCGTGATTTCTTCCGCGAAACAATCAAAGTGAATTATGAAGGTGTGCGTAATTATTATCATACGCCAACCGTCTTATTGTTAAATAATCTACCGCGGCAAGTGAATGAGTATGATATAGTTGTTCCTGAAAATTTTATTCTCCCTTTGCAAAACACTTGGGATTACATACTTGGTTCAGCAACTTGCGAAATATTTATATCCGGCGATGTAGCCGGTCCGTATTTCCTGCTGGGCTACGATGAATGGTTAAACACAGACAACTTAATCCAACGAACAACGGCTCCAGGTGATTCGGGTATATTCGATTTCGCTATGATGATTTATAATCTTCGGTATATGTTACAAGGTTAGTAATCCGGGTAGACCCTTTCTCAAATAATAGTTTCCATTTTTAGGTCATGGTGGTCGTGCATTTGATGAACAAAAATTATTACAGGTATTGACTTATGCAAATATGGAATATCTTCGTTTCATGGCTATGTATGTTGATACGTACCCGGAAGAACCGTGGCGCGTTGGCTCATTCAGTCAATTTGGCTTTTCTAATGAATCTTCTGTGTGGCTCACGGCTTGGACATTGATGACATTACGTGATGCTGTTTATCCTGAATGGGAAGAAAAAGGTTTATACATTGATCCGAACCTTCGTTCTGATATCGTGAAATTCTTTCTAACAAACCAAAAAGAAAATGGTTCATGGGGTGAAATAACCGGCATCGAAGATCGCCACAAGTTTGGCGTTCGTTTAACCAATGTTAGTGGAACATACGAACGATTGAATTTATCCTTAACAGCGCAAGTTCTGATTGCATTACAAATGAATGTTGATGTACGTGGAATACCAGGAAAATATCTAACAGGTTCTATTCAACGAGGAAAACAGTGGTTAGAAAAACATTTTCGCCTCATCACCGATGCATTCGATATGGCCATTGTTACTTATGCTTTGCACCTAACAAATAGTGCAGAACAGGATGCAGCCTTTGCAAGATTAACGCTATTTAAACGGATGAGTAAATATAGAAAATAGACAATTTCTGTTTTGTACTGATTTGCTCGGAATGTTTAGATGAAAATGGAATCTATTATTCAAATTTGAATCTGCCGTCGATGAGAAAAACATGGCCAAACGTCAATCCTCGATTTGGACCGAAGCCAATACCGACCGATTTCGAAGCACATGCGGTAACTGCAACAGCATTTGTTGTTATGACATATACTCATAAAGCACGAGTAAGAGATGCTGAACAATCTGGTATGTTAGATGATGAAAATAGATTCCTGTTGATCTGACAGTGCTCATATCTCATTAGTGCTCTGGTTACAATCGATGCGAAACTTCATCGGTGGTTGGTCAGCAACGTATGACTCTTGTATGGCTCAACGTGCTATTGTTGGTTATGCCGTTCTGCGTGGTTTTGAAATTACTGCTTATAACATTCGAATCAACTTAACATCCGCGTCCGGACCAGGAGAAAGTCATGATCCAGTTGTTATCGTTGACGAAAATATCATCGATACGCAAGTTCGCGATGTTGAACATGTGTGGGGCGTGCTTTACATTGACGGATTCGGTAATGGTTACGCATTAATTCAAGTAGGTCATTCTGATATAGTTTCTACAAAAGAACAATAGTTGCTATTTTCCTTAGATGCATGTTGGTGTCAATGTAGAATTTACAAATAAAATCCGTCGTCCGGCTTATGTACCATTTTCAGTAGATGTTCGACCAGTATTATCGGGTCGTAACTTTTCAACCATTGATTACAATGTTTGCTTGTCCTGGCGAACGCAAAATGTCGATACATTGAAAGCATCGCGAAGTGGTACAGTGTTCGTTGAAATTCAAATTCCAACAGGTTATCGTGTCGAAGAAAAAGATTTGAAATCAATGATTTGGGGATTTTATGTTCGTAATTTGCGCGAAGCAGAAAACTGGCCTGGTCAAGTTAATTTCGGCTTTCCGTACGTTGACTTCAATCCCATTTGCTTTCAATTTCAAGCGAAACGTTGGATACCAGTAGCTAACATTTCACGATACTATGAAGTTCGAGTATACGAGTGGTTCGAACCAGGAAATATGTATCGAGATGTTTATACGTTCAGAAATTTGTTCGGCTTGGATATTTGCGAAGTAAGTGCTATGCGTACATGATTATGTAAGTAATACATTTGTTATTTTCAAGGTGTGTGGATCATATCAATGTCCGTATTGTCCGTACTACGGACAGGGTACAGTGTTTGTACAATCATTGACGCTGGTTTTTGTCATTGTTTTATGTATAGCTTTTTTTAACTATGTAGATCTGATGATATCTAGTTGAGAATAATGAAAGTTTTCACATGATTGGATTCTATTAGCGGAAATTATCTGTAAACGAGTGATTCTTCTCCTGAGCGTTTTGCTTTCGTTTATTTTATTAATATGAACATGTTTGTACACTGAACTGAGACAAACTTTAATTTTAATTTTCTTCTGGGGAATTAATATATATGTTGAGTTGACAGTTACTTACAGAATCTAAACCAAACTTCAGTTCCAACAGATAAATCGAAATCTCAAAAGGCCATCTCTTGTGGGCGTGGGTGTGAGTATTTCTGAGAGATTTTATTATTTATTCCTATCTAAATAGAATTGAAAAACTATCTTCTTTCCACCGAGACGCTAATGAATGATTTTACCTCTAGTTCATCTAGAACCTTGACTGTCTTGTTCAATCTGACGAAGCCTCTGTCATCTCGGACTACATATGAAAATCTTCGTTGATAAGCAAGAAGGTCGAGAATCCGAGAGACAGAAACATCGACTAGTGGCGAAACTACTTTTGTCTTCTTTTAATGAAGGTGTGGACGAAATGTCTTCACTTCGATGCACACGCTCATCCTTCGAATGACCCAAAGTTTGCACAGCGCGACCTATCTTACAATCGCGCTAGCTAACGATGCTGATCATCTCTTTTTAACAAAAGAAACGAGTCTCTAAGATGTACAAAACTATACAGATCAAACACATATTGTTTTTTTTAAAGAATTATACAGAAAAAAAACTGAAGAACGAACTCATTATAGGCAAACACTATTTTCATTTCAATAATAACAACTAAATAAAACAAGACACTTTTCAATTGTTAAAAAAACATCACCATGTGTTATGTCTGCAAAGTTTACTTCAACAAAAAACCTCTCCTGATGACAACGGACAGATATTATATGTGTTGAATTGTTAGTTGCATTCACTTGAAATCTCTCATTGCAAGTACACGTATACATTCGCACAGCATCCAATGTCGACAAGTATTAATAGGGTAAATGATTTTCTGAGCATTTTTCCTTCGTTGAACAATCGATAATTGAATAGCAGAAATTTCATGTTGTCTCATATGCAAATCAGTTTATTGTTAGGACAATATTTACATATGTAAAAACCACATTGAATTCTCATGTGAACGTCATTTTGCATTGATATGATCAAAGCAGAATGATTTGAAAAGAGGAAAAACTTAGTTCATCGACCTTCATTCTGCGAGGTACACTAGCAAAAACCTTCTATTCATTCCTTTCTTTGTCTAGTCATCGTCGTTGCCACGACCGTATATCGGTTCGCGTCGTAGTCGACATTATATTTACAACAATCTACCATCAACATCATTATTATCGAATGATTACTTTCTTTCATCGAAATCGTTTCTATCGAATACAAGCAAACCACGAACCTATATCCCGAATGATCAGCCGAGCGAAAGTTTACAAGAGCGAAATGACAAAGACTTTATCTCGAGTTCTATTCCGCTAGCCGATCGACAACTCTGTCAAGGACGGAAAACAAGAGATTTTTTATCATCATCATCGTCGTTATTTCTTCTCCCATCGACTCCAAATAAGACATCTCATCTTTGTCACGATCCGTGCTCTTCATCATTTGTGAAAGAACAACAAAAAGCTCCATCCAATCATCTCTACGAATCACGATATTCCCATTGTCAATCATTGAATTCGACAGACAAGACTTTGGCATACCAATCACCAGTAAAACAGTATTCAATTGATAACTATCAAACTAATCTATTAGAAGAAAAAAGCTCCCTTCCATCATCTTCAAGATTACTCAACGATAGCATTGTTGTTAATAAAGAGAGTGAAACATCATTTCTGCCTTCTTCATTCTCACTTCATTATCCTAAATCAACTAATTCAATCTTTTCCTCATCACCCTCAACGAACAAAATCAACGACCACAAACCTCTTTCCAAAATATCCAACAATACATTTGCTCGACCGCCATCGTCATTTCTGAGATATTCGACTAGTTCTTGGAATATTAACTCACCAATGTCATCGACCAAATATCCAACAGGTTCAGACGGTTATACGGGACCGATTACTCATTCGTATGACCAACGAATCAGTGATCAAGGTACAAAATATGTTATTCAATTGACGACTGATGATTTTGAAGAAAATGAATTCACGATTACACCGTCTTACTCTCGAAATCAACTAGTTATCGATGGGAAACATGTAGAGGAAGATCATCTCGGTGGTTTTATTCGGCGAGAAATGCACAAAATCTTTCCTATACCAAAACATATCGATTTAACAAGATATTCGTCATCATACAGTCGGAAAACACGAGAACTAACCATTGAAATGCCTTGTTTACATTCAACAATAACTGAAAAGAAACCAAATTTGTCAAATCGGGATATAACAAGTCAATCATTAACATTTTCCTATGGGAATCTTAATCTAACTAATGGTGGACGACCTACATCTTCCGCAACTCATTTACAATCAGATCCGCATCATAATTTATCGATTAATCCAAATGACTTTCATATGACATTCACTGATTCATCAAGAACAACACCGGTTGCAGTCACATCGAACAATGATTCGTCCGTAGGCAAAACAAAACCGTTTGATTTTGATGTATTCCATCGATCGGCTTTTCGTCCGCAAATTCTTCCAGGTTCGTCGAATGACAATAAGAAACTACTCATGTCTTTAGATTTAACCGATTATCAACCTGAGGATATTCAAGTGTCAATCAAAGATCAAGAGCTAATCGTCAAAGCTGAACGAAAAACCGAAAGCGACACACGCAAATCTCGTTCATCATTCTTCCAATCAACCAGTCTACCACCTCAGACCGATATTGAACGTCTACAATCAAATTATATGGATGGTAAATTAATCATCGAGGCACCGTATCTAGAAAAACATGTCAAAATAATCAATAATAATACTGACATCAATGGGTAAGAGAAACGGCGCACTGATATATACTTCTATTAACAAATTTACCACTTTTATGCTTCTAATAATTAATGTCACCGTGTGTGAGTGTGTGTTTTATTAATAAAAGATCCTATTTATCCTTAATTCAAAGATTGTATTTGTAGAGGCACGGTGACTAGATGTGAAAAACAGTCGATAAATGAAGATCCATACCAACAACGAACAGAGACTGTAATAGAATTCATTCGTCGACGTCGATTATGATTTTGAATCCTAATCTAAAATGAGCTTCGATCTTGTGTGTGTGTGTATGCAAAACTCAATTTACCGAATAAAATAGCTGATTTGTTTGCTAAATAGTTGCCAAACAAACGAATTTGCACGATTCATTCTCTCATCTAGTAATGAAGTCTACAGAAAACATACTTTTCTCTTGCTGGGAAGATTTTGTTCTCGTTCTCGGATGAGTATGAGCAAATTATTAATGACCGATAGAATTACGAGTTTCTTTTTCTTCTTCGCTCTCTCTCTCTACACGATTCTTCTTTTGGTTAATTCAATTATTTTCTCCACTTACCGAACTTATGCTTACATCATTTCTTTTAATGTACGTTCTTTTCATCAGTTATTAGATCCGACAGAAATTTAATCAATCGAAAGTTATTCAAAAGTAGGCCTCTATGTTTTCTGTCTTTCTTTCTGATCATGTCAATTGGAAAAGTTCATCTCTAGTAATGTCTCATCAATAATTCACGGCCAGATTCCATGCCGTTCGATTCGTTTGAGGGAAAAGTCATTTAGCCTGAACTATGTTACATTAGATGAGGAGAGCACACTTCAATGATAATGTACACTTGAAAAGAAATTACAGGTAAATACGTTATTTGTTTTTCCCAGATGAAGCGTCTTCCTTCATCATACCGGTATGAATTTTACTATTAGTGAGGACATGTGATATTCTTGACGAGTCATTTTCTATCTATTTTTGATCTCGATCATAAAGGAGAATGAGAAAAAAAAACGCGATGATTATACTTTTGGTTATTAGTCTAATCTTTATGGCGAGATATATTAAAAAAAGAGCGGATGTGAGTTTGTATAAAAGCTTAATGAAAAACAAAATGTTCTTTTCTTGTTTTTCTGTTGATTTTTTGTGTGAACATCTCGCACGACGAGTCTCGATTATTTTCCAGAAGCAAATGTAGCGACAGACTGTGTAGATAACTTATGCAATGTAGATGAGAAAGCGCAATAATCGAAAGAATTCTGTTTTATTTTACTCTCGTTCTTCGTAGACAAAAATTCATGAAGAACATGACTCAATTAACAATTGCTACACTATGTCAAGCTCTGTCCAATTTGACACGAAATCGATGTGCTCTTGCCGAAAATTCCAATACATGCCGCTGTTTCGGTGATATTATCAATCCAAGTACGTCTCTCTGTTATTCCTTTGATTGAATTACCGATAAATTGAAATCTTTCAGTGTCAACAACAGTTGTTGTTAATTCAAGTTCAAATATAATGTTAAGTGAAACATGTCTCATCTTGTTTGTGTTAGCCGTATGGTTATCAGCTATTGGCTTTTGTCTCAATCAATATAAGTCACTTCGCCGTCTGGAAACGCAAGTGCACTATTGTGTGAGCCGTAAGGATCCGTTGAACATAGGTGACATCAAAATTGTTGCACGCGAGCAAGATTCGATAATTTACAAGAAGAAACGTTATTCGACGATGCCTACTGCACATATAAATCCTGAAGATTTGAAATCTATGCATTATGTACAACAATATCTACCGAAATCTTCCATGAAAACCTTTCCGTCGACGCTTTCAGCGTTGGTCGTCAATAGAGACGATCTCACTTCGACAGTTCCTCTTTCGTCGACAACTGGCTTTCATTCTGCTATTAATATCTCGTTGACAACACACGATGAAACGTTGGAAGAACATGCAACAATATCAAATTCGAATATTAACTATGAATGTAATCATCGCAGTTCAAATACGCCAGGTGAGAGAAAGTGCACGTCGAAATATGAATCTGAATTATAAATACCTGACAAAGATAATTAAGCTATTCATCTGTTCATGATTAATATAGAAAAGAAAAGAATGCTCTAGCCGTCATTATAATTCTGTTTCCCGTCTTCTGTTCTTTAATTAGAACATGGTCTCTTGACAAAGCATATATAAATTATTTACTTCCACTTGATTTTTTTTTAGAAATAATTCATCAGTCACCAGCCCTCGTAGTTCCGTATCTGTCGATTCCGAACAGTTTCCAAACATCCTGGACGAATTCTCAACTGTATGATGACAGTTGCTCGACTCAACATCTGTGTGTTCCAACAGCTGGCCTGCGATCAAATCGTTTCTCTGCTGGAAATATCTCGTTACCTGTCCCACAAATGACACAACATAATCCGCAAAATCCCGATGAACAGTTAATAAATCCTAATCTAATCTCGGCTACCGTACGTCGAAGTCTATTGGCATTACATCGCGAAAGTCAAGAGAATATTATGATGTACAAGAGAAAAGAGCAGACACAATCGGAAAACGATGTTCATGGTGTGTTAACGCCATTGAAGACGAAGATGAAATCGAAATTAAAGCATACGCATCCTCAACTTCAACAATCAGCTCGACCGCACGCGAATACATTGTCGACTCTACCGAATCAACTGAATAAGAACGAGTACGGACAATTTACCTTCGAAAATATCAATGTACAAAATGAATGTAAAGCTTGTCGTCCATCAATAGGACGATCTCCTCTAGAACGAACACAAGTGATGCGACGAAGTCTGAAAAATTACCCGAAATATTCCACACAGAGTACAAGTGAAAGTGAAACAACTCAAGGAGAATTGTGTATTCCAATCAATGACGAAAAATCAACAGATACGATCTTGGAAATAACCGAAAAATCACCGTAATCTCACGCTATGCTCGATGTAAATACACTTCCAGTGAACTTAACGATAGAAAGAGACGATTTGATTTTACTCGGCAAAAATGATATAAAATTTCAAGCTAAAAGACGATTTCTTCAGTTCCATTTTCAGGAGTGATGTGAGTACCAACAATGAGTGACTGCTGATACGCATTGAGCTTCAGCGGAACTTTCTCGATATGCGATGGTCGATCTACATGAGAGAAGATTGGTTTTTGTTTATTTCGATGATTCTACTGTTCAGATACGTACCTGCTGTGACTAACTCCAACGGCCAATGTGAACATGTAACTCTATCTCGAACGAAATCTTCCCTTGATTCGCGAAATTCTTCCAGACTTTCGAATCGAACGCCATCAGGCTCGAATAAACTCAATGGACTCATGCAAATATAGGCCACGATACGTAACAGTTGATTGTCTACTGCTGATTTGTCATCTCTTTTATCAACTAAACTCGGTGTATTGCAATGAACACAACGAGAATCCCAGACAACTAAATCGCCAGCTTTGCATTTCACCAGAATGGGACGCATATGTGCGGTTAATTCTGATGGAATTTCAACATAATCACCCCATATAGTTTTTTCATTGACCGTAAATTGTAAATCGACAAAGCGTTCATGCGAACCAGGTACAATAACAAGACCACCTGTTGATTCATCATTATCAGTTAAAGCAACCAAACCTTGAACAGAACATCGTTGAGGTTTCTGAAACGGATTCTAAACAAAAACAAAATCAGTTTTAGTCCTGTTTTTTGTATTCGTATTCTAACTTGATCACAATGGTACCAACCACTGTCCGTTTTCCAATCTGGATTTACGTGCCAATCACGAAAACATCCAGCACCATCAAAAGATACGAATAATTCATCCGAGTTCCATATCTCAGAAAAAACCTTCTTTACATTTGGATTTCCCCGGATAAACCACATGAATTCTGATTGACCCATGCCATAATCATTTATTATGCCAAGTTCATTTAATCCAGGCCTAGCACACATCTCATTCTTCTCTCATAACTTTCCTTCATCAATATCACTCACCAGTTCTTGTTCCACGTTTTCGAATCATCACGTCGGATGCTGTATGGTTTTGGCAGATGTTCCAAATGTTTCCAGAACAAATCCGTACTATCGCTGATTTCTTTCCTTGTTAGAATGTCGCTGAACACAGCATAGCCACGATCTGTCAAATGCTTGACACCCTGTTGAAGTTCATCGATATTCTGTACCGAAAATCTCGGCGAAGTCGCTTGATAATCGATACTGACTTGTGATTTGGTCGTTTTAAATGAAGTATCCATACCTTCATAGAATAATAAAGATATCATGCACCTTTATATAGCCTAGATTACTCGTTATGTCAAAAAATTTCGCAATAGATAAGAAAATGTAGAAAGATCAATATCAGACACAACTGTGAGTACAACATACAAAATAATACCCATAAATCTTCCAAATTCCTACGCTCTCACTCTCTCGTTTCGGTTGCTCGAGAGCTAATTTTTGCGTAATTATTATTAATTCTTTAGCGACATCTGATAGATTCCTGTTAACAGAAGGGCAAATACACATAACCAATGGAAATCACATTAACTTAGTAGTAATAGTAGTAGTATTTCTTCTTCTCTTACTGACTATAACGTCGCTTATTATTTTTCCAGAACTGTGAAGCATCTGGTTCATCAGCAATGGCTGCTATCGTTAATCGAGTTACCGCTCTTGTTCCTAAACTCGCTCTTCGTAAGTTTCTATTCATCAGTGGAATTCCTTTTCGGGAGAAAGTAATCGAATTTACAAATAGCTGTAGCGCGTTATGGTCAATCAAAACTCTCTCGATTCTGGTACTTTGCACGTGTTGAACTTCGACCACCAATGCCTGGCGAATTCGACCAAGTTCAACGAGGAATACAACAAATTGTTAAATCTGCTTCAACCGGTGCCTGGCGTAATCTAACTGTAAAGGTAAAGACAACCTTGATCGGAAGAAAACAAAAGACTAAATCGTTCACTTTTAGCAATTCGGACTGAACACTCTCGTCGGTCTGGAAGTTATGTTTTGGTTTTACATAGGAGAATGCATCGGCCGTGGTAGCATCATTGGCTATCGGCCTGGACGCAGTGAAGGCATCCCAGCTCCTTATAAATATTTCATGTGATCTAGCACAGTATCCATATCTGGCCTTTTCTCAACTTTTATTTGTTTTTATGTTTATTGGAAAGAGAAAAAACAACGACAGAAAGCATGTAGGTGTATGAACATTTTTTAGATGTAAAATGACTGATGAAATGAATGAGACATTTATGATTCGTGCATCAACGCCGGAAAAAGCGAACGATGACAACGAAACGACGACGGAAAAAATTCAGACGAAATTAACTCAAGTTCAGCTGAAAACGACATTGAGCGATGGACTCAATTCACATGTTACAACGCAACGGCATCAAGCATCATCCATAGAGCTGATTAGTTTACCGAAAGCCCGTGAGAGTATTGTGGTAAACAGCCTTTCTCTGCCATCTTCACATCAAACCGAACATGTTTGCTGTTTCAGTTTCCAAATGTAATTGATCTAAATGTTGGCGGTTGCCGTTATACGACTAGCCTGTCAACACTACGTAAATATGAAGATTCAATGTTAGCTGTTATGTTCAGTGGACGATACGATCTGACCAAAGATAAAGATGGAAATATTTTTATAGATCGCGATGGAACGTATTTTGGGTAAGGCACGATTTTCATCTAAATAATCAGTTCGGAGGATTTGAAAGAAAGATGCCGATAGAGTCTGCTTAGTATCATCTAGAATTGTCTATTTAGACATATTTTGAATTACTTGCGTTGTGATCAAATGCCTCCAGAATCTGTCGCATTACATGTTCTCCGTGAAGGTGAACTGTTCTGTATTCATTCGTTAATCGCTAAATTAGAAGGTTCCAGTCCGTATGTTATCTCCTTACGTCGTCGAGAATCATTTCGTCGATTGATACCCGACTATGAACATATGAAAATCGATATTATCAATCGTTCCGGTGAAAAACGTTCTTCATTCCACGAATCACGAGTCGTCATTACTCAATTGGATCATCCAAAGTTGAAAGGAACCATTCCCTGTTATAATTGTAGTCGCGAATTTGTTACGGTTAATCATGGTACGATTCGTTTTTTCTAAGTCACACGCACATTGAACTTGTTTGTGTAGCTTGCGCATTCGAAGGATTAACAGCTGATTTAGAAATTCAACAACAACTGAAACCGACACAATCAGATATTCATATCGACATGGACAAACTTATTGCGTAAGAAGAATTATGTTTAGTTGCGATTCTATCAAACGATTTCTTCTATCTTAGTTTTGTTGTTGATGAGTTAGTTCACGATGGTTTCAAAGCCTCAGTTGAACGTGTCACATGTCGATTCAGCGTTCGCTGTCAAAGTTGTACACTTAGCGGTTTATATACCGCTGGCGGAATTCTTGCTCCGCGCGAATGTCAAAACGTAGCCCATGTCATTAAATTCATCTGGTCATAGACTTTCTCTTGCTTTCATCTATTCTCAAATAATTCAATAGTCCGTTGTATGCTTATACCAGTCAACATCCCGTGCCTTATCTATGTTTTTGATCTGTTAATTTGTCTTGTATTTTATGCCTATTGAACGAAATAAAACTTATTTTTCTGCTTACGTCTGCTATAAAACGGAATACGTGCATTTGTTCATCTCTATCGCCAAAGGAACTAATCTCAACGATCGCATCGTATGTGACATTTGTACATACATTGATATTTACCAATGATAAATGTGTCAATCGGTATTCAATTTTGTTTATATATTCAGCTTGACCTTGGAAAGGAAAAGGATCAACCTTTGAACATCTTTAACATGGCATTTATCTTCCGAGTAGTTCTTTCAAATATAAGATTAATATTATCTTTCATTTTCTACATTCACTGACGACAGTTTCGATGGGCAATCATCAAGTATAGTAGATGCTTCGGTTTCGGATAAAGCTTCAATCTATGCTTTTTTTCTTTTATTATTCAGAACAAAACTCTACAGAATGTCGAAACGGTCGCAGAAGAAGAGCAACGTTTTATCATTGATCTGGATGAAATCGTCCAGGAATGGATTTGGCAAACATACGGCAATACCAAACTATTATCTCGATACAAGTAACGAAACTTTCTTACTTTCGAACTCACACATATCTTTCCATATCGATCTAGACGTGAGGATCTTCTCATTACCATCAACTGGAAGAATGTTACATTGAACCAAGATGATGTGCATTTGTATAACTCGAATTCATCATGTGTATCTCGGACGCTATTTCGCACGAATTTCGATAATAAAACCCTCAGCGAACAATTATATAACTTCACTGCGAACCGATCGACTTGTTCAACTTTGAAGATCCTATTGAAGCAAAGTTTAGCGATGTCACATGAATCTCCGATTACACTTCACTTACCGAAACAGATCATGTCATTTCAGAATCATATTAAATCCGAACAAGTGATTCCACTGGGAAAGGATATGTATGTAACAGATTCTATCGATACTTATTTTATGATCTACTTTCTTTCGAATTTAGGTTGAAAGAGTTCGAGCTACCGTGGAATGTCGATAGTCAATTACGTATAGCGCCTCGTACACGTCTTATAGCAAAGTTAAATGTCGACGAAGAAGAATATTCGAGTCATTTTTCCGCATCGATTCGTTTTTCTGGTCGTATAATGGCAAGCATCGCTACTCGACAATCACCCAGCATTTGTTTGAAATTCATTGTTGGTGATATTGTGGAAATCATATCAAAAGCAAGAAAAACCAATGGTCGATTGAGCAGCATGGAGATCCTCAATGAAATTCTCCCCTCGGTCGGGTTTACGATACACGGGCGATGTTTATTTCGATGTGGAATGCGTCAGCATATCGTTCTCAATCAAGAATTATTAGAATTATCGAGTTCGTCCTCTTCTGATTGCGGCCTTACACCTTCAGCTCCATCTGAATACTGTCATTTAACGTCTTCGTATATTAAAACTGATGATCTAATTCGTTCAAATCCGATGGGCTATCAAAGATTATAAAATAACCGACTTTTTCTTTGTTGTTATTTGTAAAAAGAACAGTATAACCATTTATTGACATAACAAATGATAATATTTACCTATGATGAAACATAATTGCAAACAAAATTTTGCGTACCTTGCCTTTAAACGCACTTGTAACTCTTACGATATACCTGAGTAATGTTGCTTAGTCATTTGATGATTCAAAGACAACAACAAGTTCATAGATAACGTCGTTCGATTGTAGTTGTGATTTTCTATTTTTAGTTCATAATGAATAATGATTCTTGGAAGAGAAAGAAATGACACGTTCGGTTTATTGTGTATTTTATTAGAAAACAAAAAAAAAAGAGAGAGAGAGAGAGCGACAGAGAAACCGCACGTTGATTTTTATCAGTGAAGTCAATGATAAATATGGAAGAACACTTCATTTGATTGCATCTTTTTATTCTCGGGTTTTGAAACAAATATCAAGATCAAATTTCATCTTGTTCAGTACTTGAATGATTCTCCAATAGCAAACTAGATGTCGATTCATTATCTTCATTTATCTGATTTGATTTGAATTTTTTTACGGAATTCTTCAATGCCTGACGTTTATTACAAAACCTAAGAGAATATGACGAAGCGCTTGTTTTGCTTCTCGCACAACGGAGACGTAACTTACCAAACGCGTATTACTTCGCGATCGTAATTTAATTCTTGAGCAAGCGATGACATATCGATACCGGATGGGTGGGTATTCAGTTCAAATGCATCATTGAGTTTCTCCAATGCTTGAGGAGTGAATGATGTTCGCCGCTTGCGCTTCTTTGTATTTAGATCAGTGACGAGATCGTGTAGATTCGTTGGTCCATTCTTTAATCTAGATGAAAAAATCTGCCTGACATTCGAGTTTAAATTAGACGAATGTGCACCTATCAGCGTATTTCAATTCTGCGTCTCGCATCCATTTCTCGAGAACTGGTTTGATTTTTGATGCACTTTTCGGCGTTATATCGAGCTTTTCGAACCGACATATAGCTGACTGACTATACGCTGGTCCACGTGTGACACTCAAAGCTTGGCCAACTTGAGTCTGAGTCAAACCTAAGGCTAAACGACGTAGTTTGAATGCTTTAGCAAATTGTTTAATTTCATCTAGATTGATTCCATCCACAGTCGTCGGTTCATCTAAGAAAAACCTTCCAGTAGAGGAATGAATATGCAGTTGTGAAATAACAATACTAGTTTGCGAATGTAATGTTGCAAGTGTTGTAGCGATCGTCGGTGAATTATCATCATCATCTGGTACTGATTTTCCATTCGTATCGGATAGGCTATGAAAGATAGCGACATCGAAAGAATGAGAACAACGTTTGGTATTAACCTGCAATCAATCGGCACGGGCACAGATGAATCACGTTTATGTTTTAAATTTACAGGTAGACTTGATTCGTTTGGTTTATGACTATCGATTAATACTGGCGGAATTAGACAGGAAGCTGAAACGATCGAACAGATGAACGGATAGGTTGATCGTTTCGATTGACTTACGAAAAGTTTGCTGCTGTTGCTGCTGCTGCTGCTGCAGATACAGCGCACTATTATGTAGGAGATACTGTAAAGCATTTGCTAACGGATTTAATGGTGGACAAGTGACTCCTACAAATCATTTGAATGGCATTCTGATTAGAGACAAAAGACTATTTACCGGAAAGTAGAAGTTGGGTAAGAAACAGCTGTTGCTGTTGCTGTTGAGATGTGAGCTGAGAGAATGGATTTGAATACACTGGATTGACATACTCATTTGGAGGCGATGTACAAGAGGCTAGACGAATATTAACTTAACGAAACACGAACAAATTTCGAATGGACGTTACCTTCTGCTACGCGAGACTGTTCGGAACTCGTCGGTAGTGTCATATAAATAATTTGGGTATTTCTGAAATAGATAAAAACGATCAGTATACTATTGTAAAGTTATTTCGAAAAAATCGACTGTTTATGCTTGTCTTTCTCTCGTTTTTAATTGAGACTGTTTATGTATTCTTATCGCACGCGCTCGAGAATGTGAAACACACCACACATACTCTATCATTTGAGAGTATAAACGAGTAAGTAAGTAAGCACCATCTCCTCTCGTTGTCTCATTGGTAATTTGATTCCACAATTTTTTTTTTGTTCTTTACTATTTAATGGCCGAAGCTATGCTTTATATTTTATGCGCAAAAACGAAAAGATAGACATGCAGTAGCAGCGGTGGAACGAGACAAAATAAAAAATTGACTTTCGTTGGTTACTGCTACACAGAATAAAGTCAAATTCGAACCAGGTGCAAGTTTAATTGTATATATGTGTATGCGCATATCTATTTCTACACGCATAAGTGAGATTCGCACCAACCCTGATATATAACCATAATAAAGTAGGAGAAAAGGGGGGAGAACATAGAAACAGAAGAAAAAAATCTCTAAAGAAACACATAAATTAGAGAAATGAGAAGAAAATGGTCTGAAGCTAAAGAAAGGAAAAAAAAAGAAAAAGAATAAAAAGCTCATTAATGTTATCTCGACAACAAAATATGACTGCGTACGAAAAGGGAAGAACGAGAGCACAAGAATGATGATGATGATGATACTGTTTATGCAAATACAAAATTCGCTGCTTCTGTCGCCTTGGATAATTTATGCTAAACGCGCAACAGCGAACTCGAAGAGAGAGAAAAATAGAAGACGAGACTCTCACTCACATCGAAAAAAGAATGTGCCGACAAGAATGCGAGAAACTATTCACAATTATGCACAATCGTCACTATCTTTTTGCCTTCTATTCTGTTCGACTTGTCAACGATCAAATTCCTTTCTCTCGAATAAATCGAGTGGATGAAGAAGAAAGCGATTTCTGTCAATTATACTCATCTGATGATAATGAACATCTCTCACGATATTGAAATTCTTTCTTTGACTCGCCGTGGTTGACAAAGAAAAGAATAACAGTGCCTTTCGTCAAATCCATTATAGCTCGTTCGCTCTTTTCTGATTATAATAAATCATCATCTCATTCAGTCGGCCATCGTCGTCGGAATCACATTAGCAAAAAATCTTTTCTCATCTTCCTTTCGTTTATTGACGAGAGAGAAAAGAAGGAGAAGTTCGATCGGATTTTTGATCCTATATGTCAATTTCATAATGCTGCAAAAGATGCGCCAGCGAACAAGCTTCTAAATTGGACAAACAAATCTCGCTCGTTCACTTACTTAATCAAATGCTTGAGATATACAGAAGAAGAAGAAAAACTCAACTCAAATGAGATGTTTACTCAATCTGTGTTGTCGATGACGAAAGATTTTGGCTAAAGACGATCACTTTTCGATGACTTAAATATTTTTTCTTCTCAACACCCAAGCACGTGAAACCGAGACGATAAGAAGAGTTTCACCTTTTAGTCTAAATGATGTCATTGTCAAAAAGTAACTAAACACGAGATAATCGTCATAAAACTTGATTGATAATTATCAAGAGAATAATCGGTTCACATTAAATCAATCATTTTCCGTTTAATCGAAATTTTCTCGCATATATCACAAATCCAAGCGAATCCGATACGTCATTTTCTTTTTGTAACTAATCAATTCAACAATGTATGTTCAGAATCTCAGCTAGAAAGAAAAACAAGACTAACTCCAGATGTATGTAATCTATCTGTTTATTCCAGTGAAAATATCATATGGTGCTATTAATCAATTCTTTTTCACGTTTTTTTCTCTCCTAAGAATATAAATCATTCCTTAATTTCTTCACATGGTAGAACAAGGTTCGTGCAAAGTAAATCTAACACTGTCAATCTTTCTTTTAGTTTATTAACATAAACATTTGTAATATATACAATAAAATCTGAATAATATCTGCTAAATTAATTTTATTGAATCTCCGTCGTCATGAACCAAAAACGGCGCTCGAATTGATATTCACTACAGACAATGTGTGTGTGTTGTTTTTCTATTTCATTCCAAAGGAAAAAAGTGAAACTTGATAATTCATGAACGTAGTTTCTGATTTAGTTCAATTTTGTTACTCTCATTGCACAATTCATAGATCAAACATTATTAAGGAGAGCAGAGATTTATCCAATAGGAGTTCACTTGCATTTTCTTTTTCCGCTCTCGTTCTCTTCGCAGTTTAAACGACACTCATCCAGCGAACAACTTGAAGTAGTACTGTCGATGTGCAGATCTAATTTCTAACATTGAAATAACAATGTTTGTTTTAGATTTCATTGTAAACAAGCAAACACCATTACGAAATAACAACAGCTCAACAAGAATTTGCTTCACAATATCAGTAGGTTAGTCAGTTGAGAGTTAAAATTCTGTTTTCAGTTTATAGAAGAGAAACAGACAATACAAATACACGAGAATCACGTAGACCGATTGCTTGAAATCCAATAAGAGATTTTGTATAAGCAACGAGATTAGATTAGTTCATCTAATCGGATTTTCTCTTATCGAGAAAAGGAAAACTTTGAGATATACTCATTCACATGTTATTTATACATCTAAACACATACATTCGACGTATCGTGGCTACGAAAATTGATCATCTGACAAGAGAAATCAATCCAGACAGACGAGCGAACATTCCCTTGTGGGTTGTTGTCAAAGATACAAGAAAAGAAGAGATTGGTGTCACCAGTAGTAAGCTATTGATTAGGTGTCTAATCATAAGAGAGATTTCGACATTGACAAGGCAAAACAAGTAACTTCGAATAAATACGGATTTATTATTTAACGAGCGATTCAATCGGATATTCGATAAAGTTAGTCGTGTGCAAATAGATACATCGTAGAGGAGATTATTGGGGAAGAAGTAGCTTCCGTTTCCTATTTGTATCGATATTCTTATTGAATTTCTAATAATCGAACGAGCAGTTTTAGATGGAATCATTTTTTCAACGTATGTCGTCGATTGTTTTACAAAACAAGGACAAAGAAGGTGAAGATTTGGATGAAAATGAAACGTTCCGACAACAGCATTTTCGACATTTACAAGAACGTCGACGTTCCGCACCTGATATTCGTCGGCGTGGCATTGTCACTGAACGATTAGGTAGAGTTCTTGATCAAAAAGGAACTTCCGAAGAACAAATTCCAACACAATTTTCCTCAGCTCCGGTTCATTGGCGCAGATATGTCAATGCTAACGGTAAGTGATTTGTGTGTGTGTTCTTTCGTTTAGAACCGCATGCGTGTGAAAAACCACCCATCAAAATGAATAATCTAATAATGATTGATCGAGTTTTCATGTTATGTCATAGAAAAACAAAATATGACTTAGACATTCCTCGATATCCATATATATCTTTATATTACCATATCGGTTTTTTTCTTTAGAAGTTCTTTGAACGCGATCTACCTTGTCATTTGCCATTTTGGAGAATAATTGTTATAATACTCGTAATCAGAGTAGTTTCATATTCTACTTATAGAAAGAACATCTAAGATATCGTGTAGGTGCTTTCAAATTATACAATACGAAAGAGGTCATTGTCTGACGAGCAGATGACATCGATAGATCCAACAGCAAATTCTTTCTTTGCTTTGTAATATTCAGTAAAAAGATTCTGTTCAAATTCATCTATGTCAGCCATAATTTTTCATATTGACGAGACCGAACTTGTGACAGCATATATGCGTATGTATATACGCATAATTTAATAACCGTGTGGGTTTGTGTGCTTAATTTTAGTTCATTTTCCTGATGGCTGTTGAATAGTATGTTTTCTCGTTGATTACTTTTTCTGTTATTCTCATAAGAGCATCAGGAGAAGGAGAGAAAATGAGCTGAAGAGAAAAAAGAAAAGGGAATGTTGAAAAGGAAATAGAATAAAGAGATAGAATAGAGAAAATTGTCGTTTAGAACAAGAAAAGTCAAGAATAACCAGTATTTGCATCATTACTAGTTGTGTACCTGTCCGACAGTAGTTGAAAAGAAAAGCATTTATTGATTTGCTTTTCTTTTCATTGTGTATTGTTTTTCAACGAGCTATTGCCGACTCTATTTCTTACTTATTTTCGATTCTAATGGCAGATAATTTAGATAGGAAAGACGGAAATCGAATAAATCTAAATATTTTCTGTTCACTTGTTTGACAAACAAATATGGCTAAATTAAGTTCTTTCTTTCGGCGCTTATTTACTTCAGCAACATCGGATGTTGACGGTTCGTCTTCAATCGTATCTGATGGAAAGAAGAATATTATTATTATCTCGCCATTAACTCCGACATGTCTGTCGAAGAAATCTATTGATCATGTTCAAATTCGTCTCTGTCGGTCATGTTCACCATCACCTCGTCCGCAACATCGCGCCATAACAAAACAAGCAACTATACACATTGATCATTGTCATGATGAGAATTCTAATGTGAATCTATCGCTATCCGATACGACAAAAGCGACAAATCGCCGTCTTAGTGCTCCTCTTATTATTCATGCGTCGACTCATTTTCATCAGCGTAAACATCGATCTCCAGTAGTCGATGAAAATCTCGAAGAAGCGTTAATCTTTCCATTACAGCGTTTATCATTGTCATCGACAACAGGAACTTCTACTCATCATAATAATAGCGTGAATAGCATAGGTACTAGCGCGGGTTCACCGTGTCCATCGCCACGGCCTGGTATCCGATCTTCGTCACTCAATATCTCGCCCTCGAATTCAATTTATTTGCCTAGTCCACTAAATCATATTTCATCAGCGTCCGGTATGTGTCAGAACTCTTCTACATTTTCTCGCGTATGAATCAAACGAAACAATAAGATTGTTTGTCTTCTTTCTTTTGAGGAAATATTAGGCGAGCTATAGTGAAGAAGAGTTCTTTTTCATTCAACGACAATAGTTGCATATAGAGTGAGAAAAATAGGTCGTATACAAAATCAAAGAAGCGGAAACTATAATTGCCTGACTAAAGTCTAAGGAAAATTAAAAAAAACTAAAGGAACATCTTCTAATTGTCTTTAGCAGAGAATGAAATGAATCCATTCTCTTTTCTTCTTCTTCTTCTTCTCTAATACCTCCAAGCAACAAGTTAGATTTGATTTCCGCTTGTGAATTTTTTTGTGTGTACTGCTTCTTGTGGAAAGAACCGATGAACGGCAAGTCGGTTGTCGCACTCATATCTACTACTTCTTTCTATTTTCAAAAGTGTGTAGGAGAAAAAAAAGGTCATGTTTACTCGCATGTTACACGTTAGTATTCAATGTCAACTTGGAAAATCATATCTGCATGTTCACTTGTCACCAATGATTCGAGTATTTTATTATTATCATAATCTGATAGAAAACTCCACCAACTACACTTGATTATTCATCGAGAAATGTCATGCATATACACTCATCGTTATTTGCATGGGTAGGGCTCAAGAGCAAAAAACATATTGATCAAGATCGATACTAGCATATATATATATATGTGTGTGTGTGAATGTTCTTTCTTCGTCATTGCTCTCGTTTGAAATAACGAAGAGCGAGCTCATCAGCGGGTTGCCTGTCAGAACTAATAACATTTGATCAACACTCAATATTCAATCGGATAGATAATTTTCTCTCGGCGTTTATTGATATTTATCGTATTTTATGATTAGGTACACCGCCCTCGCAATTTGCCGTTGGTCCATCAACAGCGTCGTCACGTGTTAGCATACCATCGAACAATTCAACATCTCCGAGTGCCGGTAAAAACGAAAAGAAAATTTGAAAAAAAAAATGACAAAAATTCTTTTCGATTCAGATAGGAGAATGTCGTTGCAAATGCGAGGACGACGACCATCGATGTTTGATCCAATAGATCCGAAAGAGTTGCAACAAGCACTCTATGCATCGGCAACGACAGTCAGTTGTCCAAATGAAAGAGTGAGAATTCCAACTCACTTATGTATTTTTTTTTTCAGAAAGGAAACCATTCTTCGAACGCCAATACTGAAGATGACTTAACACATTCGGTCACACATCTCTCTATGGTCTATGATCGTGACAGCGAACATGTTTCTATCGATACATTAGCATTAGAAAATCTACATCTTCTCGATGGTTACATAAATAATAACAATGGCGACGTGATATCGTTCTACTGTCGTATTCGTTTATTACCAGAGAGACGTAGTCTATTTCAAACGAAAATCGTTCGTTTGCCACGTCTTCAAACATCTTACTTATTCGACAAGAAACAATTGAATGAATTTGAATTGCCATATGAACAGTTAAATTATCACGCAATTGAAATATTCCTCTACAAAGTCAGTACAATCAAACCGTTGTATAAAGATGTGCGTATCGCGTCAGTCAAATACGATCTCAACGAATTATTTCAAAGTGATCAAAGTCGACTGAGGAAAATACTCGATGAATGCGATCCACATACTACTCATCAAGTTCGATTCATTCTTTTTGTTGATCTTCCGTCATTGTTATCTGTTTGATTTCTAGGATCCTGATCTGGGCGAATTACTTCTCTCATTATCCTATTTACAAAGTGCCGCCAAATTGTCCGTTGTAATCATCGAAGCAAAAAATCTCCGACCATTATCGATTGAAACCAAAGCATATCCCGATGCTTGTGTCAAAGTTACTCTATACGATCGTAATGGAAAGAAAATCAAACGAAAAAAGACCAGCGTACAACGTACATCGGATTGTCCGACATTTAACGAAGAGCTTGTGTTCGAACTACGCCGTGATGTGGCATCCGAAGCAATTATCGAAGTGCGTCTTGTCCACGATTCCTTATCGTATAAAGAACAACTCGGTTCTGTCATATTCGGTCCGATTGTAAATAATACATCGAAAGTGACAATCTGCGCAGAGAATGTCTACTGGTCAACGATTCTGTCTGGTGAATCATTGAATGCCCAATGGCAAACGTTGAAACCATCGATAAGAATCGAGGAATCCAAGTGATACGAAGGGAGTGATTGGAAAGATAAAATGAAGATGTGCATTGCGTGTGGTGTTTGTTTTATGTATGTGCTGTCTAGTCATGTTGTTCCGCTCTCTCTCTATCTCTCTTCGTTTTTTTTTCAAATGAATTGATAACGCTCGATGGTATTTATTGTGAGAATTCACAGAGAGACCAATCAGACATATGCATGATCGAATGAATATTGTTCGGAAATGAAATATTCTGTTTCACGGGTTACTAGCAATCGACTTTGGCATGTGCATTCATATGTAAATCAAAGACATATGAGAACGATTTAACTTATCAATAAAGAATAATTTGAAATGTAGAGAAGTAAAATATATAATTAAATAGAAGAAAGTGAAAGAAAAGAAAAAGAATAAAACATCTGTAATTCGATTTCGAGCAGAATGAGTATTATTGCTAATGGAAGATGAATTGAATGTCGAACGAAGTAATTAGAGAACATGATCCATTACAATCCTCTTCAATTAAGCGAAGAAATGCAGCCTTGTAATAAAATTCAATCTATAAAACTTCTTGTCTAGTATATTTTCATTATTCATAACGATACAAAAGACAAATCTATAGCTAGACAATGTCTAATGGATCTTTATCACGTTGTGAGATAATTAATTGAACTTGAGTGGAATCCCATATGCGTTCGAAATGTTCTTTGACAACTTTCAAAAATCCGCGTTCTGTGTTCGTATGATCACATAAGATGACAGTTGTACCTCGATGGATGGCGTCTAGAACCGCATGATGAGAAAGCTCGCCAGTTAATTGAATATCGGCATTGCGTGCATTGGTAAATACGCTTGAACCTGAACCAGCACAAACAGCAATGGTTTTTATTGGAGAATCAATTGTCTTATTGTTCGCTAGTGCAACACGAACATGTTCAAGGCCCGTTAACTGTTTCACGTTGACAATAACCTGTTGAATCGTAAGAGGTTGATTTAGTGTTATGATACGACCGTAGCCTTGACGAGAATCTACTGGCTGAAAGACAACAGAAAGTTCGATTATAAATAGTCGATTCGTTTGACTTTGTCATACTTTTTTCACGTCAACAATTTGAATTGTTTTACGAATAATATCTTCGTCGTGATATAAATCCAAAATCGAACTTATCGCTTGAGGTGGACAGGAGACGGACACTTGACGTGCGGGACCATTAGTTGTACGACAACTGAATCAAAACAAGCGCATCATCTGATTCTTTGTATTAGAAGAAAGATTACGGAATTTCGTTGATAATCATCACATCTTTGATGTTTGCGATTGCATCTGTTTTTTCGTCTTCCGGCAAAGTTATAGTTAACATTTGTTGATTGTTTGATGGCGTATTGTTTTCGGTCACTGTTTGAATCGGTCGCGATATATATTCTTCTCCGTCTGTGACAAATAAAGCAAATTTCGTTTTGGAAAAACTTCTTGCAAACTTTACTTGTGCCAAATGCAGATATCAGCCATTGATTCACGCCGTTTTCCACTGCATCCCATGATGTGTGTGGTGAATACACGGCAATGCCATGCAGAATACATTTCAAGATAATTCTCTCTTTCCAACTACTTTGTGTTAAACGTTTTAGCGAACTGAATATCGGCGGATGATAACTAACGATCAGTTGCGCACGTTTTTCAATTGCTTCTTCGAGCACTGGCTCAGTTAGATCATTTGTAAAGAAGACTCTTTGTACCAATGGGTTGTCGTCATAGGGCTCGACGAGTAATCCAACATTATCCCATGATTGATCGGCGAGATACAGTGGTGCATAGGCTTTTAATTGAGAGATAACGGTATTCAGTTGTACTCCAGTCATATTCGAAGCTTGTCTAGTGAGAATTTGGATGAATTGATTGGATTGACGTCTTAGTAGGGACGCGAACATACACAAGAGATAAACTATAATCTAGAAACAAACAAAAACTATTTTTTTGAACTGAATTTGATTATGTGGAAGAATCTTCTTCATAATCATGATCATGGAGAAATCTTTCGTATTTATGAGAACGTTTTGTTGATTGTTTACGCGAAGATAACGATTTGATTGATAGAGTGATTCCGACTTGGCTGAATGCATCTTTTGTTTTCGATGATAAATGTCGTGCATATTTCGCCGAATATTCACGCATTAATTTCGTAAACTCATCCAATCGATTGGTTTTCTCATATGCTTTGAATAAACTAAAGAATAAAGTATCAATCGATAATTGTCGAGTATTCGATGGATATTGCTCGATGTAATCAAGAAAATGAACAAGTGAAATTGCATTCATATCAAAAACATGGTTACTTTCGTAGATGTCATTAATTAGCGGATGAGTGGAGGTATTGGATTCTTCATCAATAGGTGTAAAGTCGGCAGGGAATGCAAATAGCTCGCGAACGTACCGCTGACAATGTTCTTCGAACGTCGCATGACTTATATGATGACAGGTTTTCATTGCCTCCGCTAAACGACGTTCGTGAATCAAGACAAAGGCTAATTGTTCATATGCGTAAGTTCGCGAGCGGATTTGACCAATCTTAATCAAGACCTAAAAGAAAAAAAAACGAAGAAATTGGTCTCTCCTTACATCTTTTACTTACCTGTTTTAATTCTTCTGTACAATCATCTCGAAGTAATTTGCGAATAATCGGAAATATTCCCACGAGGTTATTGTACTGAGCAAAAAGATTTTTGACAGTTTCGAATGCTGGCAATGGTCCATTTTCTTGATAAGACTTGCGCACGAGTAACGAAAGCACAATTGATGATGGATCTACGTAATTATTTTCGAATAATTTCTTCACTAACTCGTGAAATTGTTGGAAAGAAAGGATACGATACGCATCAAGTAGTAAATCTCGTACACGACGATAGATATAATTCGGAACTGTGTCATATCGTCCTAATGAATGCAGTAAATCTATTGCTTTGTCAAAAGAATCTTTATGTAGGAGTAAACGAACAACGCTGATCGATTTATGTGGATCCAATTTAAATTTTGGATCGATTTCGTGCGCTAGGTTTATGTAGGAAATCACTTTATCAAGGTTCAAGTCCACGCGAGAATCTAAAATGAGATCACATTCAATGCGAAGTTTTTGAAAAGGCTCTACTTACAATAATCAATTAAACTGGCAATCACACCTAGCGATGGAAAACCGGATGTTTGGGTTTTATCGAAATAGATACTTTCCAATTCACCAATTCGTTTCATATACGATTCTCGCATTTGTGTACTCAACGTGCGCTCGATATCCAGACATTCGACACAATATTTTGTTAGTAATTTACTTAGGATTCCACTTGTATTCATGTTTTTTCGTTTCAAATCGACTAATTGATCTTCAAGTTCTTCAATCGTTGAATTTCGTGCAGTTTTTCTCGATTTAATGTAGATATCTCCACTATCATCAAAGGATACTTCACTATCGGGTAATGAAACTTCGCTACACTTTTCTTCTCGTTTGCCTTGGAAGGTATTCAGAAGTTGGTCATTGACTTCGGTAAGTGTTTTCATACCTTAAAAACGAAACCAATCAATAAAAATCCACTGGTAAGAATCGATATTACCTAATTGTTGATAGATCTTTTCCTTTGTTTGATTACTCAACGGAATCGTTTGCGAACGTTGTTCGAATAACTGGAAAACCTTTCGCAATAAATCAATACTTTGCTTTCGATCTTTCTCCGAAAACCAATTGATTATACTGATTAAGACACCATCGTTCAATCGAATAACATCATCCGAAGTTTTGACAAATCGTTTGTTTAATGTTTCGACGAAATCTATGATGATCTTTAGCTCATTGAATATTTCATTCGAGTTCGTTTTTGTGTGATTAACACTCAATTGATTGATTAACGACTGAACAGCTTGAATCGTCTGTTCGCGAACGATCGGTGTATATTCAAAACGAATGGCTTTATTCGATTGAATGAGTGCAACAAGAGAGTTTAACAAATCGGTATTAATTCGCTTCAATGTTGAAAGATAAAGATTTTGCCAAGTGTTATTCAAATTAATATTCACTTTTTTGAAAATCAAAGAAATTTCCAACGGATTCAAATGAGCACGATCGAAGAAATGTTCAATGATACATTCTAATGTTTCATTATCATATTTCAACGAGAATTTTCTTTGTAAATAGTCTAAAAGTTGACTCGTCTTGTTGGCCATTTCTTGACTATTACCAGCGAATATTCGTTGAAGTTTGATTAACATTGGACGGATGTAGTGAGGACGGTAGGTGAAATTTTGTTGCTGCATTGTATCATAGATTGCGTAGATGTATGCAAGAGGAAGGTGACTTTGATATGCATGGTAGAGTAGTTGATGAACAGCAAGCCAACGATCTTTGTTTTCACTGAAATTAACAGCTCGTTTGAGAACAGATTGTCGAAAGTTGTTCAGATGATCTTTGGTGACCGATTCGCGTTCGCATTTGTAGTTGATTGAAGCTGAATTAATACAAAGAATGTGAGATAGGCAAGAAAAGAGAGTAGTTCACTTACAATCGGAATGATTGTGAATATCTTCAAGCGTCAGGGTCGAAAACGGACGAAAGTGATGTGCTGGTAAACGAAGCTTTAATAGATTCAATAGGGTCAGATTAATTACATCGAAACGAAGAGTTTCATCACGTTTTGGAAACGAATCAACGAGAAGAAATGCATAATCATCAAGATTAGCATCAAGCAATTCAGTTGCACAAAGAATGTATTGGACCTACAAGAAAATAATTGTGGTTTCTTCGAACGGACGCAATGGTCTTACACAAATATCTGCTAAACTATTCTTATCGATCGATTGAATGATTAATTCGAATAGATCTTTCTGTCGACATTGTGCACATTTAAAAATCAATCGGAATAACGAATCATTATCCATTTTTGACGCATTTTCAACAAAGTGCTTCTTTGCTTGGTCGACGTTTCCTTGTATCAAATATCCAGTAACGAATTGTTCATAAGTTTCAGATATAGGCTTCAATTGTAATTCATCGAAAAGTTTGAAGATATTTTCCAGCCGTTCCACATCACCTTTCTCTGCGTAAGAACTTAATAAATGAGTTAACGTCAATGGTTCGATATTGAAATTCGACATTTTCATTTCGTTCAGAATTTTTTGTATCTCATTGGATCGTCCTTGCTTTGCATAACATTCGATCAATAATCGAAACGAGGTCAAATTCGGTGCTATCTGCGCTTGTTTCATTTCGTCTAAAACTTTCAATGGATCGAAAAAGTGATTGTTTTGCAGTGAAACACGCATGTAGGAATTGTAGTGAGTGACATCGAATGGCACGTGTTTTTGTTTGAAGGTTTTCATCATATAATCGAGCACCTGTTGCCTTTGGTAGGGTAATTCACTGATTAATAAGGAGCCCGTACAGCGAATGAGAAGGAGAGCTTGGGTGGGATTGATTGCATTTAGTTCGACAGCTGCTTTATACATGGCACCACGGACGAGACCCGGATTCAATCGACCGCGACGATGGGCTTCCCCGTCGAGTCGTTCGAGTAATTGATCAAGATCAAGACGACTAGAATGCGCCGAACGGATTAGAGAAAAAGGCGTTCGCCGAAATAGTGTTGAAAGACGTATGGAAAGCATTCTACAATGAAAAAGTGTTTTATTACAAGACGATATTGTTTCAGTAGTGTATGTATTTATTTATCACAGAAAAAGACAATTATCACTGTTTTAATTTTAAAGCAAATTTAGCACCCAGCAGAAAATGATCTGAAGGGAACTGGTGGTTGGGTATATGAACATCAACCATTTGATTTTGGTTATACAAATTCAGACGACTCAATAGATTCAGCCGATATGGATCATTGTTTTGTTGAGAATAAAAAATATAGTCAACTGTTTTTGATTCATCTGTCACACCGGATGTTACACTCGAAATATCGTTCAAATCGTAAACAGATACGAATTGTTTGTTATGAGTTAAGACACCAAATGTTGGATTGTGAAATTTCACAGACGGAAAACGACAGTCAGAAGTCACGAATGACGACGGCAGGAGCTCTTGAGATGGCAACGGATAAGAAAACGAATTGCTCATCGTCAAAGCCGGCGTTTGTCCTGAGATTTGTATACACGTATAACCATTGTATTGAAGATATCCGCTGAGTAGAAAATTGATCAATGGACATAAAGGTTGAGCATTCAGATCACCGCAGAGAATAATCGGATAGTGGAGATTGGGTTCGTCAGGTTTTGATGCCAGTCGATCGATTTCAGCAAGGAAATATTGCACTTGTGCGAGTTTAATATCGCCACGTTTCGGAGAAAATAGCAAATGAGTTGTAGCAACACAAAACAGGTCATGTTCGCTCGCATTTTGTGTCAATGGCTGAAATAATGCAATCAAACCGCAGTTATCTCTAGAATTCATACAAATAATCGTATAAGTCAATTCATGTCTCCTATTTACTTGTTTAATATTCGAACATCGCTTCGATAGAACGAAACAGCTTTACTATCGACCAATTTCAGACGATTTCGCCGGTAAAATAAACAACAGCCATCAAATTTATCGCCGCTACGTTTTATATAAATGGAATCGTATCCTTAACACGCACAAGAAACTGACGTAAGATGAAATGATGTTTTATCTGTGTTTACCTTCTTGTGTCAATGCCGGTCGGAATTCAGTTTCATAATGATCAACTTGCATTTCTTGTAAACAGAATCTAAAACCAAGCGAATCGTTTGTTTTCAGTCTGCAAATGCAATGAAACTTACATCAGCATCTTGTCGTAACAATTCTCTCAACAATCGATCTTTCCGTTTGTACCATTTCAGATTGTTCTTGTAACAATTTTGATACAGGAAAGAATTATCTTCCAGTAAATTCTGCGACAAGATGTTATAGCAAACAAGATGAAACTTAAAATGTTCCTGATGATCACGACGGAAAACATCCTGATAAGTTGTATTGGACCACAATCGATATGGTAAATGTTTTTCGACTAAAAGAGTTCGTTCGATGTGGGTTTTTATGTTTAAAAAAAACAAGTATACGAGGCTGATTCAATGGATATCGATGGGCGAAACCGTGTGCTGTCGGTATATTAGGTGCTGGGACAAGTAATGGAAGTGGTGACTGCATACTCTGCTGTTCCGGAGGTGTTCGCCATGGAGAATAGTTATTTTTATATGGTAAGCGAGGACGATGCTGATTAAAGTTCGACATGTATAAATTCGAATGAAATGACAGCGATTATATTGAATTTTTCTTCCGGTCTGGGCATTGTAGTCGATGTTTTATAAGAAAATACCCAATTGGTTGCAAGAAACAACTAATCAGCGTCTTTCTACAATCCTTCGTCAGCTTCACTGGAGAAAGAAACTGATTCTCTTCTTGTCCCTATAACATAGAATTCATCTGTTGAACTCGATGGAAAACACAAAACTTGTACTTACATTTATCGATTTTAGATATGAATTTATCAAGAAACTTCGAAAGTGGTTCTCACAATCAGCAAATGGATGTTCAAAACATCGTTAGTAGTAGTGGCGATACGAATAATAACCTTTCTACGTCACACTCCAACGGTAATTCGACAGCATCATCGTATGAAGGCAATTATCAAGTGAACGTATCCGCAACTGGTTTCGAACTTGATACCATCACATCATCTTACACAGGTCTTATGCGAATTTACCGTTTGTTATATATCGCTGATCACTGTCCAGCATTGCACAATGAAGCACTTCTAGCAAGTTTGAAATACATTCAAGAAACTCATTTTACATCGATCTATAAACAAGTACAGACGTTTTTGTGAACGTTCTCATCTTTCTCATAATTTGTTTGAATGAAAAAGGTTTTAGATGAGCTGAAAAAACAGAATATTCCACTGCCAAATGATCTCGATCCGAATTGGTATGAAAAAACCCAACGTGGTTATACTCAAAAGTTAGAAAAGCTCGATACCGACCTAAGAAATTTTCGCACCAATTCGATCAAAGATTCCATACGTCGCGGCCACGACGATCTCGGTGATCATTACTTAGATGCTGGTGACTTTTTCAATGCAATTCGTTGTTACGTACGTTCAAGAGATTATTGTGTCACACCACGACATATGATAACCATGTGTATGAACGTTATCAAAGCATCGTTTTACATGCAAAATTGGTCAAACGTTCTATCGTATGTAAGCAAAGCTGAACAAGCTATTGAAAGCTTAGAATCAACAGCGAAATCGAGCGCGACGACGACGACAACGACAACAACACCCATACCAACATCGTCTGTAGTCAATCCAATGGAGATTTCAACGACCAATGCAATGATTGCATCAGATGCGATCTTAGCATCTCGCTTGAAAGTCTATGCGGGTATTGCTGAATTAGCAACGAAAAGATACAAATTAGCTGCACGACATTTTCTCGGTGTTTCGTTTGAACATTGTTCGAATTATTTTCAGGTTTGTATCAGAACTTGAATGCTTTACAAACCAAAGAAACATGTTGTTTTCTTTGTAGGATCTAATCTCACCTCAAACTCTGATTCAATACGTCTGTCTGTGTAGTTTAGCAACATTCGAGCGGTCAGAACTACACCGCTTAATCATCATGTCGCCAAATATGAAACAATATCTGGAATTGGAACCGTCTGTTCGAGATATTCTTTTGAAATTCTATGAAACATCCTATTCAACCTGTTTGGCATTAATGTCACAAATCGAACCGATTTTAGCGCTGGATCAATATCTCGTACCACACTTGCGTACATTGTACTATGAAATTCGTCATCGGATCATCATCACATACTTTCTTCCTTACAAAAACGCGAGTATGACCATCATGGCCACTCAATTAAATACAACTCTCGATGATCTCGAAGACGAACTCGTGAATTTGATACGTTTGGGAAAGATCAAAGCGCGAATTGATTCGAAAAACAAGATTCTCTACGTTGCTGATACCGATCAACGTTGGCATGCGTATCAACATGCTCTCACAATCACCAAACAATCGGAAAAGATCACCCGCGCACTCTTACTTCGCTCAGCGATCATCAAAGCCAATCTTTGTGTAAAGGATGATTCGATATCATCAGCAACTCGTTCACCAAATAATAATAATAATATGAATGTTCCTCGCCGACATTATGTTCCAACTGGCCAAGGAAATATGATGATCGATGAAGGCGAACTATCCGATGACGCAGCAATGAATTAAGTCAAAACATGAACTATATGATCAGAGAGCAACACTTACCATTTATTATTCTGCACTACGATTCAATCTCAAAAAAGTATTCTTTTCTTTTGTATTTAATAAAAGGAAAACATCTTTTATCGATCTTAACATAATACTAATCTATGAGCCGAATGTCAACGTAGAATCTGAGTAATGTTTTCTTGACTTTATTAGATTAGAATAAATAAGATAATGATATAAAGAAAAAGTGTCCGAAAGAAGTTTCTTGCTTGTGAATTACATCGCTGGTAGTTGTGGATAGATTGATTCCATAAATTCTATTTAATGATGAAACATTTGGACAAATAAGAAGGGAATGAAAAGTTTACCTTTGTAATCAATTTTACCATCTTTGTTCGTGTCAACATTGGAAATCATTCGTTGAATTTCATCATCAGGCAATTGAAATTTTGGTAAGATCTTTTGTAAAATAACTTTCAATTCATTTTTATCGATAAATCCATCATTGTTTCGATCAAATAAACGAAATTCTTTCGTCAAATCTTCCGTGGGATTGCCTGATTTATCTAGCGAATATTCCTCATAGCCGAAGCATTGAAACTAAACGTTCCGACTTACTGTTCGTAGCAGCCATTTGTTTCGAGATTCACCGAACAAGAAAAGAATGCTAAAGGGTCTCATAACATCAGTATTTATTATCTGATGGTCACAGCTGTTTTCTCGATTTAATTTTAATAAAAGGATGATTCACGCATCCAGTGCCCGATGGCGTCGGCCTTTGTTGTGTACTTTTAAGTCGACAGAGTATAATTGTTTTTCACAAAAGATGTATTCAGATTTAATACGAATAAAAATGACAAAAAAGACATGTTATGAATAATTTAAAGAATGTAAAATAGAAGATACAATGATAGCAGTAAACATGAGTATAGAAACAACGAAGAGCAAAAACGAAATGAAACGAGAGAAGTAAACACAATTGCAATCACTGCTAAATTAGTTCAAGAGATGTATATGGCGTTTCTCTTTCCATATGTACGCGGAAACGAAAGAGTTGTACATTGAAAATTGCATTGGTAGAAATCAAATTTATTCACTGCATTGTCGGAATAAAACGAAAGACAACTTTACGGAAAAACGATGTATCATGATCATTAGTATTGACCAGCTTCTCCTAGGAAAATATGTTTTGTAAGAGATAAGAAAGTTTAGGGAAAGATTTACCTCGTAAAACAAAGGTCATGGGTGTCGGATGCATTTGTCCTGCTTGCAGATATATCGATGGTGTTGGATAGTAGAAAACTTGCATAGGATAAAAAGTGGCATTCGGATGTAAACCGTTCATAGTCGATGCTGATGAAGTCGAAGGAATTGTGGATGTTAGTGGCATGTTTGGTATTGTTGAAGGCTGGTTTGGGGGTGCTAAGGGCATCGACATGTTCGGTGGAAGCATCTGTGATGGTAAAGTCGACATTGGCACGAGTGGTGCAGCTAAAATCGAGATTCGAATTCTGATATGAAGAGAACGATTAGTTTTTGTTGTACCTCGATGAGATGAATAGATTGCTGGTCGCTGAAGATTCGTTGGAATTAGATTCGATGGAACAAGACCAAGTAAAATTTGATTCATATCTTCACCTGAACATTGAAGAACTTCAATATATCGTCTTTTACCATTGAAAAACATATATTTATTATTCTTATGTGCCGCTGCATTAAATGAAGCACTTTCGGAATTCATTTGAATGAATGCTTCACCTGATGGTTGACCCTTTGAAACGAATAATACAATCAAATCTAGATTTGTTTCTTTTCTCGTGATTATGTCAACTTACATGTGCATTATAAACCATATGAACGCCTTGTGCAATCTAAAACAACAATCCTGCTGATTTATAAGAGATTAAAACGACATCTCATACGATATGTTGTGCATGAATACCGAGAAATTCCAAGATTTGTTCGATACCACATTCAATTGGTAGGTTGCGAACTCGAATACAATCTTTTTTATTACCACTGGTTAACATTTCCGGGGGTAGAATAGGTAACGGCGCATATGGAATATCTTTCAATGACGTTTGAAAATTCTTCGGATCTTGACTTCGTCGAAAAACCTATTCAAACAACACCGATATACTTCTTTCAGAAAATGAACCTATCCAATCGAACAAACTTGTTGAACTTCAGCTGTTGTACTTCGAAATAGTTCGATATATCGCGCACCCATCGTTTCTTTATGTTTAAGCAGCGCTTGAGATGCTTCATTTTCTGTTTTGACCATGACGAACGCATCACCTGTACTTCGCCCATCGGGATAGTGAACAAACAACACACCTTCTTCACCGTCCACAACATGAGTTGGTATATCACCACGCGTAAAAAATTCGATCTAAACAAAACGAAAGTTTCTCTCTTGTTCGATCGATTTCTTGCACAAACATACCACATCTTTCGCAACTGCATCAAATGGTAACCCACGCATACGAATAATCACTTGACCATCACGTTGTAGGAAAGCTTGAGCTTCTGAGTTCGATCCTTAAAAATTCAAAATAAGTTCAATTCGATATTTCGAAAAACGCCTACCGAATCGATACATCTGATTAAGTTTAAAAAAGCCTATCTATGAGTACTCGCTTCCAACTTTCCTTCGTTTCTTCCTCTCGTTTAAGTAACAAAGCTTAAAAGATATAACGAACGTCAACGAAAAATGACACTCTATCTGATCCTAATTGAAAACAGACGCGCAGGAGAAACGAGAGCAGAAGGTAAATGCTTTCAAGATGTTAATATACAAACTTTTTAAATAATCTAAATAATGATAATACAAATTGCCATTGTAAGATACACCTTTGGTATTGCCCATGGCGAGGGTATTTTACATTGAACACGTTTTTCAAAAGTCTAGAATGTATGTTTATGTGTTTATGCAAATGAGAGCGAATAAGAAGCAAAACGATGTGATAGACTCTGTCAATGCTTGACTATGCCACGACATTCGATTTGAAGAAAAAGAAAAGTAAAATATTTAACACGTTTGACAAGTATCAACAATCTTAGGAAGAACGCCAAACTTTCGTTGACAGACAACTTAGAAGCCTGAACACACATACATGACGACAAGCAAATTTGACGAAAAAAAAACCCTCCGATCGAATTATTGTCTTCTCAATCTCTCAATGGCTCGTTTTTTTTCTTCTTGTTCTTTTATTTGTGATGATGATAATGATGACAAAAGGACGCGCGCGTATGCATTGCAAAGATTTTTAATTATTTACCTTCAACAAAACAGAAGAGATTAGTTTCGATTTCTTTCAATCTAACGCACTTTCTCTTCTTCGAAAAGAATTCTTCTTTGTCAATGTCTGAACGAATCGAGACATCAGACTGAAAGCAAGACAATTTACTAATAATGATATGATTTACTCATACTTGGTTCACTTTCGTTATTGTTCACAAGTGAATCTTTTTAATCCGTGAGTAAATACAGTTCGTTACTCGGTCAATTTTCTCTTCTTCTTCTTAGCTGTATTTGCATAACCTACTGCATTCAAAATGTTGTCACTCGTTAATGATCAATGACCTTTGCTAAGAGAAAACGAATGACAATCTACCGGAAGTTTAAAGTATAAAGAAAGATCATTGATCGACAATGAATTATCTCTTTCAAGTCTGCCCCTATTTACCTCCAGCGACATTGAGAAAATCACGTCCAGTTGCTTTGTAAACTTCTATGTAACGTTGGCCAATATGATGTTTATGGCGGCGTAATGCTAATTCACGGTGTTCAATAGTAGAGAAACGAACTAGAGCTTCGCCATTACGACGTCCCTGAGTACTAAGACAAAGAGCAACACCACCCCTAAACCAAATTAATGAATTCTCTTTAGTTCTTTACATACATCAAGTTCTTAATCTCACTTTTCTATATCGAGACCACGGAAAAACTTCGCAACATCCTGATCGGTGCATTGCCATGGTAATCCGCGTGCACGAACAACTGTACTTTCTTCGATATTGTCCTCCATAGAACTAATTCAACAGAAAACAAAAGATATCGATTAGCAGAGTAATACCAAAATGCTGTACCATATGCCTTGCTGTAAATTGATCATAATACTTTCAGGTTCTTTGAAATGATGTCCTGTAGATAGATAGATAGATGGACTAAAAACAATGAATTGGGACTAAGGAAAATCTACCATCGTTTAACATTTGATGGACGATCAGTTCCATAAGTTTAATATGTCGCATGCAATAATCAGTTTCGGATATAGGACAAAGATTTAATTCTAAAGAAGATCAATACGTGATATCAAGAGTTTTTTCGCTTGCGGATGGAGTTTACTTTCGGACATAGAAATTAAATTCGGACATTCAGAAGTTTTATACATCTTTTCAAATTCCAGTCTTAAATCAAAATATTTCCAGTAATAGTTAGGTAAAGATATTGACTTTTTCGCACTTTCTGGATGTAAACATTGACGTAAATGAAGGCAATTTTCACAAACGAATGTCACATTTACTCCCGTATTCTCACGTAAAAATATGTCAAACTAGAACAGAAGAACAGCCAAAGTAAAACGTCAGAATATACACTCATTCGACTTCAATTACTTTTCGCAATGCTCCATCGAGATTCAACTCCGATGAGAAGACCAATGTTTCGTCAATGCCACTGATTTCCTTACATTCATCCGTCAATACGTGCGTATAACAAGACCGAATGTATTCGCGTTGTAAACCTACAGTCTACGGACACATTTTTTATTAGAAGAAAAAAATCCGTGAAAGCGAAACGTACTTGTTTTCCTTCGATGTCAATGATCAAGTAGATCATCTCGATGATTTCCTGTTCATCAGACCCAAGATTGTCGCCCAATAATCCAGATGTAATTGCATGGAAGAGGCACAGATATTGTTTCTTTTCGGTATTCGCATTTGGCCCGACTGATGCGGACGACGTCATTGAAAATAGCAACGTGACCAGCGAATCCGCTTCTAATAGCACCGCGATACGTACTGAGAGAGAAAAATGAAAACGGCAAGAGATAGGATGACTATGGTGGGAGGAAAAAACACAATGTTATTGGAAAATTGAAAAAAGTATAATCGATCAAATAACAATGGAAGACAATCAATCGTCAGAAAAAAAAAGAGAAGAAAAGAAAAACATTCCCAACTGTGACACAATATAAGAAAAAACTGAAATTAAAGATGATAATTTACTCACTAGTGCTTTGTTTAAAAGCACATTGAAAATTTTCGAATGATCAGCGAACAAAATCAAAAGGCATTTTTGCCTTGATACCACCAGCTGATGCCCCACAACTAACATTGTTTTCTTTTCGAACCCATTGTACTTTTAGAAAGATGTTCTGAACAATTCATTGTAAACTTTCTTCGTTTCCTTCTGGCTGCATCTTCATTTCTCTCCGATGACAAGATATTTGTCGGCCTGTTCAGAGTGGGTGGCAGAGCAGTAACAGCTGGTTTCTGTGCGAATAAATTCACATTAGAAATCAAAAAGAATCTATATAGATCGGTTTATATTCAATATATGAGAGAAAAAATGCCCGACCGAACAAGATTAGGACAAAAACATCTTGAAACAAGCAACTTGATTTCCATGTAAACTTATTTTTGTTATTAAATGATTTTAAACGATACTTGTTGACAGGCTTTTAACTACTCGAATGAATTAATCAGCGAATCATGTTTTGCACTATTTTAGTCCGCATTTGTAATACTTTGTCGACGAAATCGGATAGTGTCGCAAGGACAACAAACAACGACTTATTCTGAAAATGTCTATATTTTCCTTCGTTGATCGATACACACATACGGACATACAAATACAATAATCACAAAGCGAGAAAATGGATGAGATTTTGAAAATAAAGGATGAGATCATGAATACACGCACGCACAAACGCTATCTACATTAAAAGAAGAAGAAAAGAAATGTAAAAGAAAGAAAAGCTTTTAACAGTATTTCGGATTATGTGGTTGATAGAACTCGTAGCTTCCTNTCATGCAGTTTAAACTTACTGGATAATGATCCATAATGTATCGATAGATTCCGTTTAAAGTACATTTCTGATCGGGACTATTTTGAATAGCCGAGGTGATCAACGCTATGTAACTCATCGCCGGTTTCGCTTTTTCCTTCGAATTAACCGTTGACATCGCATAGGAATAAGCCGCTGCCGATGGACGGGAGAGTAGATGATATGCAGCAGCGTCAGAATAACCGGAATATGGGTTCGTCTGGTGAACATTGTAGGACGGTGCTGTCGCGGATGTTGGATGAATCAAACGATTTGTTGACGGAGTATAGTAGGCAGCAGCAGCGACAGCAGCAGCAGCAGCATTTGTTGAATCGTAATAGTTGGAAAATGTCGTTGCCGGTGAAGTATGGTTTGTTGATGGAGTAATTGGTGGTGAACTTGAATTTGTCATTTATATTTATATTTGTCGATGATTAGAATATTAATTGCTTATCACAGTGATTATTTTAATAAGAGAAAAAAGAAAACAATAACATTGATACTATGAGCCAAATAAAACAAATACGGAACTAGTCGATATATAACAAAAAAAAGAAAATCGACTGGAGGGATAGACGAATGTATGTTTTTCGTAATAATAAACAGAAATTACGATTTGATCGACTGTTTTTATTACTTTCTCTCTTCTTCTTCTTCTTCTTCTCTCTTCTCGTCCTTTTTTGACAGCCTTGGACACGAAGAATTTTCTTTGCTTGGTTAAATAAATAGAAGTTCTTCCCGATAATCAAAATTAATATAAAAAGTACGTAGAGACTGCTACCAGCGTATGCTTACTCATCAAGCAATTTTCTTCTTTCGTCGCTATAAGAATAACAAATCCACTGGAGTTTTTTCTCTCTCGCTCTCCTTTCTCTCTCTCTCTCTCCCTCCTGCCAATCGTTAATACGATGCCATTCTTTCCTTCTCTACGCGAATCAGATTTTTTGACCAATCAAATAAACTTTCCTTCTCTTTTTACATCGTTCGTCGTCCAGGAGAAAAAAGAATGTTGTTGTTGTTGTTGTTACTGCTTTTGACAAGTCCTGCCTGTTCTATTCGAACAANTGGAGTTTTTTCTCTCTCGCTCTCCTTTCTCTCTCTCTCTCTCCCTCCTGCCAATCGTTAATACGATGCCATTCTTTCCTTCTCTACGCGAATCAGATTTTTTGACCAATCAAATAAACTTTCCTTCTCTTTTTACATCGTTCGTCGTCCAGGAGAAAAAAGAATGTTGTTGTTGTTGTTGTTACTGCTTTTGACAAGTCCTGCCTGTTCTATTCGAACAAACGAACGTCATCATTTATTAATAAATCAATTGCAATCGAAATCTACATCTGCATTTGAAAGTCGAAGAAAGGAGGGAAGGAAAACGTTTTCATTTTCCAATATGTTTTCAATATTTTCATGCTGTGCGTCACAGATGATTGTTAAATGGTATCAATCAGATTAATAGAAGGCGTGGTGTTCCTACTGTGACGACGATGAGAGCGATAGAGAGAAAAAGAAAGAAAATCTGTTTTTACCAGTTATGAAATGATCTTTGACACATGTAGATAATCCATTCTTCCGGCGCCGCTTCTAATCAAACTTTGATTTTGCCTATCGGATATAATTTGTGTTGAACGAAGTTCGTCACGCGGCCATTTAAGATCAGTAACAGAGTTGAAATAATATTTGTTTAAACACATTGCCATCGTCATCACAAGGTGTTCATCTGTTCTCTAGTCGATACTGATTTGGATGAAAGGTTTCGTTTGTTAGCCGTAAGGCACGTATAGACACTGTTAAAGAAATCAACTGCCAAGATGAATCCGACTTGTTCATAATCAAAGATGAAAATGATCTTCGAAACAAGGAATCATGATCAGAATCATAACTATCGTTACTAATGTCTATCATCATCTTACACTTTCTCTACTCTGCCTCGCATCGCGATCGTTCTTTTTTCCTAATGGGTTAGATTTTTTTGATCAAAGCGTATATTTATACAGATTTGTAACATAAACACACATTCATCGACGAGATCTCATACTAAATTTTGTTATCCTAGCCTCTCTTCTTTGTTTTTTTCTCTCTTTAACATGTTAAAGAGAATGCGAAATGTTTTTTTTTTGTTTTCATATAGAAATCTATACGTTTCACCAGTCAACATTGAATACCTTTTTCTCTTCTTATTATTTCTAATCGTAGTAAAGTTCGAATCATTCGCATTCATCATCAGCAATATGCGTTGATCATTTCATCTGATTGAACCGACAAGATTCACATATGGTAGTTAATGTTAAGAAAACAATTCATTTGGCACATTTCTTTACTACTACTGTAAGTCTAGATAAACACCATTGAACGAGAAATGAAAGGAAAGTTTCTAATCAAATTCCCATATGTGCACGGTGTTGCGTTTGAAACTCGAAGAGGTTTGGTAAGTAGGTAAGAACTAATGATGCCTGTAGAGAATGGCAATGACGAGTTCAATGATTGATAGATTGCGAGATAGACATCCGGTATGATGTATATATGACAGTGATCTATGTGAAAATATGCAGCCGATCGAGGAAAATCTCCTCCTTCACTGCCGCTGCTGCTACTGTCGTCATCCACTTGACTTTTCGATTAGCGATGTGCAAATGAAATGACAACAAAAGTAGCAGTTGAATTGTTTGTTCAATCATTCTAACTTTCAATTTGATTTCTTATGTAAGCAACGCGAATGAATATTAAATGAAGACAAGCAAACCTAGGCTTTGTTTTTCTTAGTTAATTTTCTAATGAAGTCATTCGTTTTTCTCCTCTCTTCATTGTACTGATGAGAACGGCACACAACTGTCTGATTGATGATCATGTTTTTCATCCAACTGTTGCTCACATCCATTTTTATAGGTTAAAGTCTAATGGTTGTTGATTCAAGGCAACAGTTGATTGACCCTCGGGTATTGCACGAACATTTTTTTTCTCTAGCTGTATTTGTATGTGTTTCTATAGACTTGAGTGTAATGCACTGCTCTCAACATTCATAATTCTCGTTTTTTTTCTCTCCCTCCCTTTGAATTGTTTGCGAAGAACTTGAAATTGAACGAACAAAAGCTCCACACTTCTCACAATGATGAAATCTCAGAAAAGAACAACATCGATTCTTATTCGCTCGCTTTTCTACGTGCTTGAATTGGTTAAGGCGGAGGAGTTGTCAGAAAGAAGTATAGAAGGGGAGAGAGAGAGAGAGGGAAAGAATGTTTGTTTAACTTGTTCCATTACCATAGAAAGAATGAAATGCATTCATTCGATGAACAGGAAAATTGGCTAGACTAATTTGAATAAACATACGCGCTAGGAAAAGATAAGTGCAAGCATACAAACGCACCTCAATGCCGCTAGCTAGTCACAGCAATTGAATCATCGAGGAAAATCAAGCAAAAGCGAGCTAAAAAAAGAAATCGCTTCTTCACTGATTTCGATTGTTTTTCTTACGTATTACAGATGCTTGTCGAGCAAAATTTGTCAAACAATGATAAAGATGTGTACTGTTCTCACTCTAGGCAGGATTCGTTATTTTCTCTTCGCAAACGTTGTATGGCTCAAAAAGAATTTTTGTTTTTCACTTAGCCCAGTGGCGTTTTCAACCTGATGTTTGTTCGATTGATGTATTTATTGCTTTTGACCGTAAGGTTTCTCGCCTGTTAATCGGTCTATTCCTTTTTTTTTGATCTTAGTAAGATTATTCATTACATCATAGAAACAAGATCATGATTCTATTTATTAGTTTCAAGACGGAAAGATCGCTTTTAACAAATTCTCAGGTAGTCCAGTCGATTGTTGTTGGTCTTTTTTCTTGGACTTTCGTCGCATGGCAGCTTCATGTGGATCTTGCTGATCATAGTTCCATTCCCGAATATTTAATCCTTCAGGTGCTGCCTCCATTTTCTTCTCCAGTTTACGCAATTTTCGTCCTTTTTCAACGTTTTCAATATACAAGTTTGCTTCACGTTTGGCTTGAAGAACTTCTTGTCGGAGACGTTTCTTTCGTACTTCATTTTCATACTGAAACCGTTCGTGAAGGTGTGTCCATCGGAATTTCGACAAATATCTAGTGAGAAAAAAGTGAAGATTAAAAGCAAAACATTGCTTTGACTTACTTAATGTTCCAAATATCGTCATACCATGGCGTTCGTCTTCGTCCACCCACTTGTTGATTGTTTAATTGTTTTGCGATCAACTTCGCTTCACGTTTAGATTTGAATTCCACCCAACCTTCTGTGTATTTCGGACCGCGTTCTCGTTTGCCTTTACCTTCATTTTCTTTGAAAATACCAAACCAAGCATTTCGAAGAAGAATGATCTCTGCTACTTACTTGATAATTGTAAATAGATTCGTCCGGTATGACCATACTGATCGAAATAGGACCGAATAATCGTGACATTCATCTTATTAGGAATGCGACTGAGGTAAATCACACCAGGTGTGATTTTCTTTTTCTTTTCACCAGCATCGAGAACTTTGTCCACAGAAGTGGTCGGCTGTTCGTCTTGTTCTTCTTCTTCTTGTTCATGATCACTTGTCTCCATTTTCCGTTTCATCTAGAATGAATACTTCCAAAGTTATCTTGTCTACAGGGTATCCGCGAAGAAGTCAGTTCTTTCAATTGATTTCATCAATCGAGTTTTATTTCATTCCATAAAAGATAAGTGAATATATATGTTGTTCTAGGAATCAAGAAATGAGACAAGTTGTTCGCCTGGTTGAAACAATGATAAATGAAAAAAAAAGAACATGAATCACATGAGATTCGCAAATCACAATGATGGGAAAAAATGATAGTCAAAGTCTTGCGTGCGGGTGTATTATTAATTTGGATTGAGCCGCCTAAGTAAGAGAAAAACAAAAAGCAGACAAAAGAAGAACGAAAAATCAATGCGTAAATATGGAAAAGAAAGAAAGAAGAACAAATGTTTTGTCCGAAAGCAGAAAATCGATTGGAAACAAAACAGGCTTGAATTACTCGAATAATTTATTTACATTTTAAGTGAGAAGACAAGTGATAAGAAATCTTCATAATTTATTGTAATTTGTCCATTTTGTAAACGATCGTATTGACGAAAAGCATTGGTTAACGTTTGAATCGATACACAAGCTTGAATAAAGTCGTCGAAGGCAACAGTACCACGACCAGTTCGATCAAATTTTCGAATTAACAAGTCATAAAACCGATCCGAAAGACGATAACCTAAAACACACCGTATTCCATTGAAAGTCAATCATTAATAGATTAGAAACGAAAAGAATCAAAATGTTTTGCATAACTAGATCAAATCGATCGACAATCGAAGCATGAGCAAAGAATAGAATTAGATAAATGCTGATCGTTAAGGATAAATATGGAATATTCACTACAACAAAGAGCAACGTACCAAACGAGCTCAAGGCTGCTTTAAGCTCGTGTTTGTCAATTGTGCCACTGCCATCCAAATCGAATCTCCTACAAATCGAACATCGTTTTTGCGTGAAAAGATAAAAAAAAGTCAGTACAAACCTGAAACATTTTTCCCATTCCGTAACATAACGCCAGAGTGCTCGAAATTCTTGAAAATCGATAGTAGATGAATTGTCTTGGTCGAACATACCTATGTAATGATAGAATAGGACAACTCAATACTCTCAGCAAGCGCAATTGTCGATCGAGATATGAAATGAATGCAAAACACAAGATGATTCTTTCCGTTCGATTTCGTTCATTACCAAATGAGGTTAAAGCTTTACGAAATTCGTTTTTATCAATCGAACCGCTTTTATCTTCATCGAAACCACGAAAGACTTTTTCCCATTGAGTAATAAAATTCCACAAAGCTGTAAATTCTTTAAAATCGATCGTTGCCGAACCATCTTGATCAAACATTCCTGAAAACATTTTATCTCTCTGCCGTATTTCTTCTCTCTGGACGCTAAAAATCTGCCTAAATCCATATCTTTAAACTTACCAATCATCATTCGAACCGTTTCCTAAAAGACAAACACGTTGTTTTCGATTACTATATTCAAACAGAAATCTCCTACAGGATTGAATGGACTCCATGTACCATTGGAGAGAGCTGATTGAAGTTCATTGGATGAAATTGAACCTGAGCCATCAGCATCAACTCTAAAAATGAGATGCACTTCGGTGTTGAAGAAGTTAATTTACGAACAAAGTATTACTTTCGGAAAACTTGTTGTAAAAAGGCATCAGATACTTCACCTTGACCCATTGTTATTATAGATGGAATGTGAATTAAACTTGGTACTTAAGAAATGTTTGATTTAATCTAAAACGAAGCAATATAAATGACGGTCTTATGTATTGACTGAGGTGAACATTTCTACTGATTCTATCTGAGAGGTTTTAAAATAAACGATGTGTACATCGATGAAATCTCCCACCAGGAATATAAAGAACGACAAAAATATTCATCGATTTCGTTCTGCCTATGAAATATCTAAAGCATAGTGCAAATGCCACGTTTTTTCGCTTTCTTCTATCAAAGCATCTTTTTACTACTCATAAGTAAATATCAAGTATCGCATTGATATGCGAAGTCTACTCAAACTAATTTGCTTTTCTGCCGTAATCAATTCAATACTGCGATGTTGGAGGCCAGCCGATGACGTCAGGATGACAATAGTTTCACTGTGTTGATGATACATGACGTCGTAAAACGATTACTCATTGAAAAGAAGAAAGGAACTTTCGACGATGAAGAGTTGTGGGAAAAGATGTGTGCGTTTGAAGTAGTTGTATTGAACAAGGAAATGTTGAATAACCAATCAACAGCGAGTTAAGTTTGAATTCTATACTACAAGTTTATAACTTTAGTAGAAAAAGATTTTTCGTGAAAAAATAAATAAATTCAGTATAACGTGGAACGAAATCCAAGAATCTGGATGCTAGCGCCATCTATCAATGAATAGTCTAATATATAATTTCAATTAACATGAAGTGTACTTTATTGAAAAGATATGTAACTTATACGAGATTTCCTTTTTCTGTTTAATAACAAACACAACAGAAATCTCATGTGACAGTATAAAGTACAGCACGAAACAGAATGCCAAATGGTGTATTGTCAGCCGGACAAAAAGTCGTTTCTTTCGTGCAATTAATATCAGATGCAGTTCGCACTAGTGACCCCTATATTTCTATATCTCGAAAAAGAGTTTTCTAAAATTTTTTGCAGAAAGGGGATTCTTTTGCCCTTTTATGAGTTTCTGCAACAAGTTTATGATGAGAATATAGCTATTTAACTAACAATGCATCATGAAAGAGGTTATTGCCAGAGAAATGAGAGTGATGATGTATGAATTGACAATTATATTTGGAATGCTCCTTATGAAGATCTAATTTTTGTTACATATGTATTTTGATTTATTTTCATTAAAAGTACCGTGAGATAGAGTGCAACTAGCAAGCATTTCGTTATTCTAAAGTGTCTCTATTGAAATTGAAGAAGTTTTTTGAAGCCAAAGCAAACAAATATTCATTTTATTGGTGAGAAAAATATATCAAAAATAGAAATAATAAAATAAACATCTATAATAAACGATATAATAAAATAATACTCCTGGTAAATATAATTATAAAAATCATATAATGTAACACCTAAGAAAAAGCCATATGCATGTGATTGATGTGTTAAAGTTTCTTTTTGCGTGAGATAATCTGAAAAGATGGAAATATCATAAACCGAATCTGTATACCTTTTTTAAAATCAATTTTACCTGACGCGGTGTACTTTGTGCAGATGTATTAGCGCTGAAATTTGGTTTTCGTTTCATCGGTTTTAGTGCTGTATTTACTCCGTTAGAGTTCTAAACTTAGAATCAGATAACGAATTTTCGATTTTATTTTTAAGTACGAATAAGGTGCTAATTTACCGTTGTTGTGGTACTTAATTTTCTTGAGCTTGTGTGTGAACTAATTGGTGAAATTTGATTTTGAAAAGGATTGAAATCATCTTGTCGTAGTACAGTTGATGATGCAACAGCATTTTGGGCATTAGCAGAACATTTAAGTGCAAATGGTGTTGATTGATAACAGTAACTATGGTCACTAGTAATTGATAAATTGAGCAGATCAGATTCACTCTCATTACCATCCAAATAATTGCCATCGAATGATCTATCAGAACCGGCATCGCTCTAGTTAAGTAGACATCACGATAAAAACATTTTTTAAAGAAGTACAGGCAGTACTCACGTAGTTATCATACATAGATTGCACTGTATCATCAATTCCGTCATCGTCATATTCGTCATCTGCGGCGTCAATACAATTATTGTTTTGAATATAAACATCTGTTTCACTGTCATCGTCGTAGTCATCGAAAGTATCATCAAATGTCAGTATTTTCCGAACGACAGGTTTCGAGTTTTCTTTTGTTGATTTTTTCATAACCTACAATGAAAATATTCGATTAATATGATTCTATGATAGAAGATAAATAGGCACGATCTTACTTGTATAGTCGTACGGTTAGTGCATTCACCAGATGAACATCCACACAGAGGAGTACAACATAGATTATTTGCAGCACATTTGCATCGTTGACAGCCAGATGTACATTTCACACAACGACTGAGAGACAAATGATTTGGTAATTCTGAGTTTGTAAACCATCGAATGATCAATTCATTATTGCTTGTTCGATCATAGCCATAATCTTCAATCGGATAACAACTAACCAAGTCGAATGGTTCAAATGTTTTTTTCCAAATAAAAACTTGTTTCCATGCACGTTTACAATGTTGCTGAAATGAGTCGGATGTTGGTGGAAGTTTTATGCATATATCCGTCGTCTGATTCTTGCAATATTTAATCGCCAAATTTTGCCGTAAAGAGTTCAATGATACAGTATGTGTTGATGATGATGGAGCTGTTTTTGCCAATAATGATTTGTAACCTCTCGATTTAGTATAACACGAAATCAGTAAATCTTCTGCTGCTTTCATCGGCAATCTTGTAATTCCGCCTTCGCCACCAAATTCCAGTAAATGCTGAAATTGATCTGGATTCGATAAGTAGGTATTGAAATAAGTCTTTTTTGTAATATTTCGTGTAAATGATGTCGAATCACATCCTGATAGCGCATGCAGTACTAAAAGTACAGTTGGTTCGGTAATGTTCCATTTAATTGGTAATAAACAGCCGATTGCTTTTATATTGATAAATGATGTCAGTTTTGTAGACGAGTTAAACTTCCTAACATAATAGTTGGGTAACATCATTAACTTCACATGTGCTAATGCTAGAATGAAAACATCGGTATCAATTGATTGTATGACAATACCATTGAATTTCCCTTTGTCATTATCAAGCTCAACATCATAAACATGTAAAAATATACGAGTATCAGCTTCAACGTGGTCAGATTCCAAAATAACTAATGTTTCAACTGATTGCANACGAATATTATAGATGTCTGCACAATCGAAATGTTTTCTGCCTTTTATTCATGTTTCTAAAAACTATCTCTCATTGAAAATTACACCATTCGATTCTGTATTAAACAGAGAATTTTTCAACATTTTAAGTTTACGAAAATAGTTTTTCGAGGCTAAGTGCATTACTAGGACTAAAATCTGCCAGTAAAAGAATGTGTCATTGACCCTCTGACGGCTCACCATCTCTGTAATATATAATTCATCTGTTGAACTTGATTGAAAACACAAAGCTTGTACTTATATTTATCGATTTTAGATATGAATTTATCAAGAAACTTCGAAAGTGGTTCTCACAATCAACAAATGGATGTTCAAAACATCGTTAGTAGTAGTGGCGATACGAATAATAACCTTTCTACGTCACACTCCAACGGTAATTCGACAGCATCATCGTATGAAGGCAATTATCAAGTGAACATATCTGCAACTGGTTTCGAACTTGATACCATCACATCATCTTACACAGGTCTTATGCGAATTTACCGTTTGTTATATATTGCCGATCATTGTCCAGCATTGCACAATGAAGCACTTCTAGCAAGTTTGAAATACATTCAAGAAACTCATTTTACATCGATCTATAAACAAGTACAGACGTTTTTGTGAAAGTTTTCATCTTTCTCATAATTTGTTTGAATGAAAAAGGTTTTGGATGAATTGAAAAAACAGAATATTCCACTGCCGAATGATCTCGATCCGAACTGGTATGAAAAAACTCAACGTGGTTATACTCAAAAGTTAGAAAAACTCGATACAGATCTGAGAAATTTTCGCACCAATTCGATCAAAGATTCCATACGTCGTGGCCACGACGATCTCGGTGATCATTACTTAGATGCCGGTGACTTTTTCAATGCAATTCGTTGTTACGTACGTTCAAGAGATTATTGTGTCACACCACGACATATGATAACCATGTGTATGAACGTTATCAAAGCATCGTTTTACATGCAAAACTGGTCAAATGTTCTATCGTATGTAAGCAAAGCTGAACAAGCTATTGAAAGTTTAGAATCAACAGCGAAATCGAGCACGACGACGACGACGACGACGACAACAACACCCATACCAACATCGTCTGTAGTCAATCCAATGGAGGTTTCAACGACAAATGCAATGATTGCATCAGATGCGATCTTAGCATCTCGCTTGAAAGTCTATGCGGGTATAGCTGAATTAGCAACGAAGAGATACAAATTAGCTGCACGACATTTTCTCGGTGTTTCGTTTGAACATTGTTCGAATCATTTCCAGGTTTGCATCGAAACTCGAACGTTTTCCAAACTAACGAAACATGTTCTTTTCTTTGCAGGATCTAATCTCACCTCAAACTCTGATTCAATACGTCTGTCTGTGTAGTTTAGCAACATTCGAACGATCAGAATTACACCGCTTAATCATCATGTCGCCAAATATGAAACAATATCTGGAATTGGAACCGTCTGTTCGAGATATTCTTTTGAAATTCTATGAAACGTCCTATTCAACCTGTTTGGCATTAATGTCACAAATCGAACCGATTTTAGCACTGGATCAATACCTCGTACCACACTTGCGTACATTGTACTATGAAATTCGTCATCGGATCATCATCACATACTTTCTTCCTTACAAAAACGCGAGTATGACTATTATGGCCACTCAATTGAATACAACCCTCGATGATCTCGAAGACGAACTCGTGAATTTGATACGTTTAGGAAAGATCAAAGCACGAATCGATTCGAAGAACAAGATTCTCTATGTTGCTGATACCGATCAACGTTGGCATGCGTATCAACATGCTGTCACAATCACCAAACAATCGGAAAAGATCACCCGCTCATTCTTACTTCGCTCAGCGATCATCAAAGCCAATCTTTGTGTAAAGGATGATTCGATATCATCAGCAACTCGTTCACCAAATAATAATAATAATATGAATGTTCCTCGCCGGCATTACGTTCCAACTGGTCAAGGAAATATGATGATGGATGAAGGCGAATTATCAGATGATGCCGCAATGAATTAAGTCAAACATGAACTCTATGAGCAGAGAGGAACATTTGCTATTTATTATTCTGCATTACGATTCAATCTCAAAAAGTATTCTTTTCTTTTGTATTTAATAAAAGGAAAACATCTTTTATCGAGCTTAACATATGCTGATCTATGAGCTGAATGTTAACGAACAATCTAAGTAATGTTTTCTCGGCTTTATTAGATTAGAATAAACTAGATAATGATATATAGAAAGATTGTCCGAAAAGATTTTCTTGTTTGTGAATTACATCGCTGGTAGTTGTGGATAGATTGATTCCATAAATTCTATTCAATGATGAAACATTCGGACACATAAGAATAGAATGAAAAGTTTACCTTTGTAATCAATTTTACCATCTTTGTTCGTGTCAACATTGGAAATCATTCGTTGAATTTCATCGTCAGGCAATTGAAATTTTGGTAAGATCTTTTGTAAAATGGCTTTCAATTCATTTTTATCGATAAATCCATCATTGTTTCGATCAAATAAACGAAATTCTTTTGTCAAATCTTCCTTGGGATTGCCTGGTTTATCTAACGAATATTCCTCATAGCCGAATCATTGAAATTAAACACGTTCCGACTTACTGTTCGTAGCAGCCATTTGTTTCAAGATTCACCGAACAAGAAAAGAATGCTAAAGGGTCTCATAACATCAGTATTTATTATCCGATGGTCACAGCTGTTTTCTCGATTTAATTTTAATAAAAGGATGATTCACGCATCCAGTGCCCCGATGTCGTCGGCCTTTGTCTGTACTTTTAAGTCAAGTGAGTGTAATTGTTTTTCACAAAAGATGTATTCAGATTTAATACGAATAAAAATGACAAAAAAGACATGTTATGAATAATTTAAAGAATGTAAAATAGAAGATACAATGATAGCAGTAAACATGAGTATAGAAACAACGAAGAGAAAAAGAAAAGTGAAACGAGAGAAGTAAACACAATTGCAATCACTGCTAAATTAGTTCATAAGATGTGTATGGCGTTCCTCTTTCCATGTGTACGCGGAAACGAAAGAGTTGTACATTGAAAATTGCATTGGTAGAAATTAAATTTATTCACTGCTTTGTCGGAATAAAACGAAAGACAATTTTACAGAAGAACAATGTATCGTAGTCATTAGTATTGACCAGCTTCTCCTAGAAAAATATGTTTTGACAGAAATAAGAAAGTTTTGGGAAAGATTTACCTCGTAAAACAAAGGTCATTGGTGTCGGATGCATTTGTCCTGCTTGCAGATAGATCGATGGCGATATCGATGGTGTTGGATAGTAGAAAACTTGCATGGGATAAAAAGTAGCATTCGGATGTAGACCGTTCATAGTCGGTGCTGATGAAGTTGAAGGAATTGTGGATGTTAGTGGTATGTTCGGTATTGTTGAAGACTGATTTGGAGGTGCTAAGGACATCGACATGTTCGGTGAAAGCATCTGTGGTGGTAAAGTCGACATTGGCACGAGTGATGTGGCTAAAATCGAGATTCGAATTCTAATATGAAGAGAACGATTGATTTTTGTTGTACCTCGATGAGATGAATACATTGCTGGTCGCTGAAGATTCGTTGGAATTAAATTCGATGGAACAAGACCAAGTAAAATTTGATTCATATCTTCACCTGAACATTGAAGAACTTCAATATATCGTTTTTTACCATTGAAAAACATATATTTATTATTCTTATGTGCCGCTGCATTAAATGAAGCACTTTCGGAATCCATTTGAATAAATGCTTCACCTGATGGTTGACCCTTTGAAACGAATAATACAATCAAATCTAGATTTGTTTCTTTTCTCGTAATCATGTCAACTTACATGTGCATTATAAACCATATGAACACCTTGTGCAATCTAAAACAACAATCCTACAGAATTCTACAGAAATAAAAACGACATCTCATACGATATGTTGTGCATGAATACCGAGAAATTCCAAGATTTGTTCGATACCACATTCAATTGGTAGATTACGAACTCGAATACAATCTTTTTTATTACCACCGGTTAACATTTCCGGTGGTAGAATAGGTAACGGTGCATATGGAATGTCTTTCAATGATGTTTGGAAATTCTTCGGATCTTGACTTCGTCGAAAAACCTATTCAAACAACACCGATATACTCCTTTCAGAAATGACCTTATCCAATCAAACAAACTTGTTGAACTTCAGCTGTTGTACTTCGAAATAATTCGATATATCGCGCACCCATCGTTTCTTTATGTTTAAGCAGCGCTTGTGATGCTTCATTTTCTGTTTTGACCATGACGAACGCATCACCTGTACTTCGTCCATCGGGATAGTGAACAAACAACACGCCTTCTTCACCGTCAACAACATAAGTTGGTATATCACCACGCGTAAAAAATTCGATCTAAAGAAAACGAAAGTTTCTGTCTTGTTTAATCGATTCCTTGCACAAACATACCACATCTTTCGCAGTTGCATCAAATGGTAAACCACGCATACGAATAATCACTTGACCATCACGTTGTAGGAAAGCTTGAGCTTCTGAATTCGATCCTTGAAAATTCAAAATAAGTTCAATTCGATATCGTGAAAAACGCCTACCGAATCGATACATCTGATTAAGTTTTAAAAAGAAAGCCTATCTATGAGTACTCGCTTCAAACTTTCCTTCGTTTCTTTCTTTCTTTCTTTTAAGTAACAGAGCTTAAAAGATATTACGAACGTCAACGAAAAATGACACTCTATCTGATCCTAATTGAAAACAGACGCGCAGAAGAAACGAGAGCAGAAGGTAAATGCTTTCAAGATGTTAATATACAAACTTTTTAAATAATCTAAATAATGATAATACAAATTGCCATTGTAAGATACACCTTTGGTATTGCCCATGGCGAGGGTATTTTACATTGAACACGTTTTTCAAAAGTCTAGAATGTATGTTTATGTGTTTATGCAAATGAGAGCGAATAAGAAGCAAAACGATGTGATAGACTCTGTCAATGCTTGACTATGCCACGACATTCGATTTGAAGAAAAAGAAAAGTAAAATATTTAACACGTTTGACAAGTATCAACAATCTTAGGAAGAACGCCAAACTTTCGTTGACAGACAACTTAGAAGCCTGAACACACATACATGACGACAAGCAAATTTGACAAAAAAAACCCTCCGATCGAATTATTGTCTTCTCAATCTCTCAATGGCTCGTTTTTTCTTTCTTTCTTCTTGTTCTTTTATTTGTGATGATGATAATGATGACAAAAGGACGCGCGCGCGCGTATGCATTGCAAAGATTTTTAATTATTTACCTTCAACAAAACAGAAGAGATTAGTTTCGATTTCTTTCAATCTAACGCGCTTTCTCTTCTTCGAAAAGAATTCTTCTTTGTCAATGTCTGAACGAATCGAGACATCAGACTGAAAGCAAGACAATTTGCTAATAATGATATGATTTACTCATACTTGGTTCACTTTCGTTATTGTTCACAAGTGAATCTTTTTAATCCGTGAGTAAATAGAGTGCGTTACTCGGTCAATTTTCTCTTCTTCTTAGCTGTATTTGCATAACCTACTGCATTCAAAATGTTGTCACTCGTTAATGATCAATGACCTTTACTAAGAGAAAACGAATGACAATCTACCGGAAGTTTAAAGTATAAAGAAAGATCATTGATCGACAATGAATTATCTCTTTCAAGTCTGCCCCTTTTTACCTCCAGCGACATTGAGAAAATCACGTCCACTTGCTTTGTAAACTTCTATGTAACGTTGGCCAATATGATGTTTATGACGGCGTAATGCTAATTCACGATGTTCAACAGTAGAGAAACGAACCAAAGCTTCGCCATTACGACGTCCCTGAGTACTAAGACAAAGAGCAACACCACCCCTAAACCAAATTAATGAATTCCCTTTTGTTCTACATACACCAAGTTCTTAATCTCACTTTTCAATATTAAGACCACGGAAAAATTTCGCAACATCTTGATCGGTGCATTGCCATGGTAATCCGCGTGCACGAACGACTGTACTTTCTTCGATATTGTCCTCCATAGAACTAATTCAACAGAAAAAAAGATGTCGATTAGCAGAGAAATATCAAAAAGCTGTACCATATGCCTTGCTGTAAATTGATCATAATACTTTCAGGTTCTTTGAAGTGATGTCCTGCAGAGAGATAGACAGAATCAAAACAACGAATTGAGACTAAGGAAAATCTACCATCGTTTAACATTTGATGAACGATCAGTTCCATAAGTTTAATATGTCGCATACAGTAATCAGTTTCGGATATAGGACAAAGATTTAATTCTAAAGAAGATCAATACGTGATAACTAGGGTTTTTCGCTTGCAGATGAGGTTTACTTTCAGACATAGAAATTAAATTCTGACATTCGGAAGTTTTATACATCTTTTCAAATTCCAGTCTTAAATCAAAATATTTCCAGTAATAGTTAGGTAAAGATATTGACTTTTTCGCACTTTCTGGATGTAAACATTGACGTAAATGAAGACAATTTTCACAAACGAATGTCACATTTACTCCCGTATTCTCACGTAAAAATATATCAAACTAGAACAAAAGAACGGTCAAAGTAAAACGTCAGAATATACACTCATTCGACTTCAATTACTTTTCGCAATGCTCCATCGAGATTCAACTCCGATGAGAAGACCAATGTTTCGTCGATGCCACTGATTTCTTTACATTCATCCGTCAATACGTGCGTATAAGAAGATCGAATGTATTCGCGTTGTAAACCTACAGTCTACACACACACTTTTCATTAGAAGAAAACATCCATAAAAACGAAACATACTTGTTTTCCTTCGATATCAATAATCAAGTAGATCATCTCGATGATTTCCTGTTCATCAGACCCAAGATTGTCAGCCAATAATCCAGATGTAATTGCATGGAAGAGGCACAGATATTGTTTCTTTTCGGTATTCGCATTTGGCCCGACTGATGCTGAGGACGTCATTGAAAACAGCAACGTGACCAGCGAATCCGCTTCTAATAGCACCGCAATACGTACTGAGAGAGAAAAATGAAAACGGCAAGAGATAGGATGACTATATGGTGGGAGGAAAAAACACAATGTTATTGGAAAATTGAAAAAAAGTATAATCGATCAAATAACAATGGAAGACAATCAATCGTCAGAAAAAAAAAGAGAAGAAAAGAAAAACATTCCCAACTGTGACACAGTATTAAAAAAACTAGAATTAAAGATGATAATTTACTCACTAGTGCTTTGTTAAAAAGCATATTGAAAAATTTCGAATGATCAGCGAACAAAATCAAAAGGCATTTTTGCCTTGATTGCACCAGCTGGTGCCCAACGACTAACATTGTTTTCTTTTCGAACCCATTGTACTTTTAGAAAGATGTTCTGAACAATCCATTGAAAACTTTCTTCGTTTCCTCTCAACTTCATCTTCATTTCTCTCCAATGACAAGACATTTCTCGGCCTGTTCAGAGTGGGTGGCAGAGCAGTAACAGCTGGTTTCTGTGTGAATAAATTCACATTAGAAATCAAGAAGAATATATATATATATATCGGTTTATATTGAATATATGAGAGAAAAAAAGCCCGATCGAACAAGATTAGGATAAAAACATCTTGAAACAAGCAACTTGATTTCCATGTAAACTTATTTTTGTTGTGAAATGATTTTAAACGACACTTGTTGACAGGCTTTTAACTACTTGAATGAATTAATCAGCGAATAATGTTTTGCACTATCTTAATCCGAATTTGCAATACTTTGTCGACGAAATCGGATAATGTGGCAAGGACAACAAACAACGACTTATTCTGAAAAATTCTATATTTTCCTTCGTTGATCGATACACACATACGGACATACAAATACAATAATCACAAAGCGAGAAAATGGATGAGATTTTGAAAATAAAGGATGAGATCATGAATACACGCACGCACA